GCTCGGAGATGGAATCCATGGCTGGTGGGGTGCTACTTATCCCAATATAACGACAGCATCCGTGAATATCTCCCTGCCAGAGGTGGGATCGAACAACACTTGGCGCGGCAATGGCAACATTACATTCGCTCTGTGGGAACACGAGCGTATGGCAGATCTAGCGGTGGACGGTGTCTCGGTTCTTCTCAATGACGTAGAGCGCTGGCGTGGTTATCTTGATGAAGACAAGCGCGGGGAATTCACCTGGCACCGCCATGGTCATGATGGCCTGGAGCTACAGACAAATCCTCGTCTTGTTAATCGTGACCTGGGCACCAACATTGACCCCAAATCGATTCTTTTGGCTGATAGTGATTCTGACGATAAACCCGAAGACCTGTTCTTCCGATTCGCATTTTTGAGGGGCTCGGAGGCTGGCATTTATAGCCCGACAGGAGTCTGGTTGAGCGATGGCGAGTGGTGGCCCCCTGCACCTCCCAAGAAATAGATCCACTTCCCCTCTGCATTGGAAACTGAGGTTGTTTTCGTGTTTATATTTCACGGCGCCTTGCAAGTTAGATTGATTATACACTTTTGGTTCATGTGTGCTGGACGCGCTGTGCCCATTAGAGTAATAAAACAGGCACGGTGTTTGCTGGATCACTCTCATTCACGACTGGTCACGTTAAATGAAGATATCACATATTATGATTGCCCATATCTGGTGCTGATCGATATTAGCCCTCTAGCATAATTCCCCACCAATATATATATTTCTCTGGCGTCGTATTTTACAGAAAATGCATACCACGTGATCGTGACGGCACGAGCCCAGGCAACAACCATCCCGAGCTCACAATTTGGAAACTTCATTCGTACCTAATTTTAGCAATTCCTATGTTACACTAGGTACGCGGTATTTTGAAATCGATGGAGCACGAGGGATCTGAACATGAGGGACGTGAGGTGCCAAGCGCGCTGGTCCGACGTGCAGTAGGTGTTGCTCCACAACCAAAAAAGTTGCAAGCTTAGAAAAGGCAACCTTGGAAGAATCCTTCCGAAATACAGCTTTGACTAATCAAATATTAATTATGAATGCATACAGTGTGATCAATGCCGGCTCCGAAAGGTATGCAGGTGTAGCTCCAAGTAGCAACGATGTCATGACTCGATTCTTACGTTGTCACAGATTCGATGCGATAAGCGCACCCCATGTTCAAACTGCCGAAGCTCCAGCATCGCATGCCGATCTACTGGCGAAGGCCAGAAGCCATCAGAGCCCCGGCGGCGGGTTTTAATCTCAAATCAATAGTATGAGCATCTTCCCCTATCATAGGACACCATTGACTTGAGCACAGTGAGAAAAAGATCGATATGATCGAGGCACGCCTGGCAAGCATTGAAAGTACTCTTCAACAGCTAGCCAAAAATACGTCTCAACCACAAGGCTTCACAGCACCAAACCGGAGCGAGTCTCATTTCGCCCCTTCGCCTCAGAAGTCAACCCCTTCGCAGCCGCCATATACTACACCGAACTCTGCAAAGCTCAAGGGCCCTTTGTATCTAGTAAATCGTACTATCGAGGAGCACGATTCCAGCGCTGGCTTCGAGGGCAGCTCATCTCTTACTGCCCATGGGGCCTACGCGAGCGCGTTCCTTGAATCTGCTGTGTCTCAAAGCTCGCCGCAGGTTTTGTCGAGTCCGAAGATCACCGCGGCTCTCTCGTCGCTAAAGCAGCTTGTCGGAATCCAGAACCAGCGGCGAGAAGCGGATTTGCAGGGGAGTCAGCCTCTCACCAAGAATGCGAGGTTGGGCGTGAGACGTGACATTCGTGATCTGGAGATGCCGCCTCTGCCAGTGGCTCTGGACATGTTGAGAAGTATTCAAGGTACGGTTTATTCCAAACAGACGTTTCCAGTTTGTGCTAATTTACCTAGAAAAACCACCGGCCTTCTTTGGTGGCTATGTACCCTTCCTCAGTGTGGAATATTTCACCGAAAAATGCCGTGAAGTTTACTTCTGCATAAACGATTACTCCGACGCGGCATTTATTATAACTAACTTTTCTATGTACAGCCTTTTCCACGAATATGGAGGCATGGATAAAGATGTCACTATGCGAGAAGAGCACCGGCACTACATTGAGATGTGTCGGAACAACCTGGAGACAGCACTTGCCAATTTGAATATCCTGATGCCAGCAAACTATGAATCGATCATGGCGTTATCTCTAGGAGTTAGTCCCCCATTTTCTTTTTATCTTTTGTTCAGATATACCCCATCCGGAATCCTTATTTCCTTACTTACAAACACAGGCTATGCATGCAGTCGAGATTTCCAAACCATCCGTTGCCTGGACGCTAGCATCAACGGCCATGAATCTCTGCCAGACACTGGGATATCATCGCTTTACTTCAATGGAGAACGACCCTGTACCAGTCCAACGCCAAAAGATGATTCTATTTTGGACTGTCTACACAATTTTGAATATGATGTCCCTGCGACTAGGTCGTGCTTCATCCATCCAGAACTACGATATCAGTCTACCGATGCTAGAGGAAAACCCAGCAGAGATCCCTCAGCCATGGGGACCCGTCTGCACTTGGTGGACTAGATCGGCAATTATCCAGAGTGAAGTTTATCAATATTTGTATAGTCCAGTGGCCTTGCAGAAACCAGAAAGTGAACGAGTCACACATGCGCACAGATTAGCCGCTGAGATGCGGTCGAAGGTTATGGAGCCGTTTGAGGTATCGTCCCCACCGTTGTTTGGGACAGGATTAAGTGAAGGGGTTGCTAATGTGAAACATACAGAAATTCATGTCGTCGGATCTCAAAGTAACCGATATGGACCTCCTGTACCTCGCAACTGACAAGATCAGTCGGCTGGCCATCATGACCTTGATCTACCGAGCAATTCCAGCACCAACAGGCTCAGGCCAAGGCGCCCCCTTTATACCCGAATGCATTGAGGCAGCCCGGGAAGCCCTGGAAATCCACCGCCAGTGCGTTGCAGCGCTCAACGAGACAGACGAGGTCATGAAAATATCCTACATGCACTGGTAAGCATGCCATCGTTGATGCAATGACCATACCACCTCAGACCAAGATATTCTGACAAAAGAACTGTAGGGGTGTCCTCCAATCCCCCTTCGTCCCCTTTATCGTAATTTTCTGCAACATAATAACAACTTCCAACGCCGAAGATCTCGCCCTACTCGAAGAGTTCATCGCCTCCCTCCAACCGCTAACCACCTCCTCTAAATCCATCGACCGATTACACAACCTTTGCTCAGTACTCGGCACCGTCGCCCGCCTTTACTTTGAAGCCAATACCCGGACCCAAGCAGCCGCAGACCAAGGAAGTCTCATTGAGGTCGGTCAGGAATTTGATGTTTATCTCAGTGCGCTTGGATTGGCGCCTCCAATCTTTATGAATCCTCTGAACACCGATAATTCCCAGATGGAAAACTCGCAGGGTTATTCCCAGACAGATCATCCTGCTACGGATGTTAATTCGGCGGAATTGTCGCAGCAGAACGTGGGTGGCTTCTCGGCGCCGGTTGATTCATCTCAAATGCAGGGACAGGATTTGGGGACTGCTGCGCAGTTGGGGAATTGGTTCTGGGGGAATCAGTACATGATGGGGCTTTTGGAGGAAGATCTGTCGCAGTTCAATCCGGGAAAGCCGTGAAGAGATCAACGGGTGGCCATTAGACTAGATTATGCTCACTATTGGTGTTAATTATTCCCAAAATAGCCAGCTACTATAATTGTAACATGAATCTCAACTTCTACACCTCGCTGATGTCTAATCTACATATCACCCTCTCAGTCCAGCAAAACCTTCCATCCCTCTGCACTCATAACCACGAGTGCCAAAGCTTGCTTCTCCTCGCCCGGTGGGACACTAGGTGTTTCAGCTCAGGGAAAGTTTGAATGATCCGTATAATTACATACGAAGCTTCTTTCCGTGCAAATCCCTCAAGGGCTCTACGAACTACACTTATAACCTAAATCACTTACTGCCTAGACGGGACGGAAACTGCTTGCGTGAATCACAGACCTTGGAAGCGGCAGGAGTAACATAGGTACTCTATAGCCTATCAAGCCTTATTACTTTGTCTGGGAAATGATGAATGGATCTGAGGTTTAAGCCCCCGAGCGTCTAAACGTTGGCACCGATTGAATCATTTCGTTTTCACTATAGGGGTTATAGTAATATATATCCGACTTTGACAAATCCACGGGTAAGATCTCGGGAAAACAGCAGTTCAAATCTTGGACGTAGCCAACGGACCAGCAGGGCAGAGCCGGTTGGCGTCAAGCAGCGGCCACGATATTAGCGCAATCAAATATGTTTCCAAGCTCCGCGGGAATCTGTAGTTCATGATGAGAAGTCGAAGAGGGAAATTTACCCACATGTGGAAATGTGCTTAGGTTACAGGCAGATATCGAAGAACCGTTTTGAAGAAAACCCGAGCGCTCCTCATTGGCTTTGGCCCTTGAGATTTCTAGCGCCTCAATCGGACTTTAGGATGCTTGCAGGCGACTGAACATGCGAAATTCAGTCTGGTATACCTTTATTGCGGGAACTGGCATCAGGGTAGAAGAGCTTCAGTCTCAAGTGAAAGTCTATTTATTCCCATAGCTAGGCCCCGGAGTCCGAGTATAGTATCGCCATTGCGTTCTTATTGTCCAAGAACTATGTTTGGCAGATACGGAACAACGAGGCAAGAGTGGTACAATTTCAAGCCCTGGAGCCTGCCAAACAGCTATATGGCTCAAAGCATCCTACAACCGTACAGATCATGGATACGCAAGCGAGACGGCCCCTAATAGACATAGTAAATGCCAATATTTTACAACCTCGTATCGCAGTAACGTTATTGTTTGATTTCATGGTGATTCTATGGTCATAAGGCTTTTGAACACTACCTACATGTAGGTATATGTGAATGTGAAGAAGATTGAAAAACCGCATTATCATGATATTGAAAATTGACGATGCTCATCATCCGTTAAATCTTTGCGCGCAGCGCGCTTCCAAGCCCACTCAGCTCTCGCACCACCAGGTGGTCCAGGTCCTGTGTGTTGAGCAACCCTCTATGCGCTTGCGACAGATCCGTGATGCCGACCAGCTTCATCGCCACTTGCAGTTCTGACGCCAAGACTATCACCACAAAATTAGCTTTGTCCATTCTCCAACAGCCGTTGGATAAAAGGAAAGGAAGACGTACTGTCAATCAAGTGTTCCACGCCCTCTTGACCGTAGTTGAGCGCGTACATCACCGGCCTACCGATCAGCACCGCCCGTGCTCCCAGACAAATCGCTTTCAGGATGTCTGTTCCCCGGCGGATACCCCCATCCACCAGAACCTCGGTTTCGCGCAGGACATGAGGACAATGTCGGCCCAGCTCAAGGAGGGTTAAGAGGGCAGGAGGAGCAGTGTCTAGGTTCCGCCCGCCATGGTTGCTAGGGTCAGTTAGTTTGATGTCTTACGATTTCGATAGACCTGCCGTTGAGTAAGTGATGCTCACCTTAATACAATCCCGTCGATCTTCGCCTCCACCGCCATTAGCGCGTCTTCAACCGACTGGACGCCCTTGAGCACCAGTTTCCCTTGCCAATGCATCCTCAGCCAAGCGAGATCCTCCCAGGACAGCGTCTCGTCGAGGAATGACCCCGTGGTGCGGGTGATTCCGCCTCCCTTGGCATCGTGGCTGGCCTTGGTGCCGGTCATGGGCATGGAGATGGACTGCTCGGCGCGCACGCGCTCGTCCGCCTCCCGCTTGCCCGGCACCGGAGTATCGATCGTCACGAAGAGGGTGCGAACACCAAGATCCCAGACACGTTGAAGGATGGCCTCTGATGAAGCGCGATCCTTATTGACATACAGTTGGAAGAAGAAGGGGTGCTGGGAGGGAACGGAAGCGACGATTTCTTCGCCGGGAAAGGACGCGGTGATGGGAATCTAATTCACATCAGCAACTAGAAGACCGAGATGTGTGAAAATACAGGAATCATACGCAGTATCCAATACTTTTCTTTGCACAAGCGCCTGCAATCCCCTTCTCGCCGGCGGGGTTTGCCAACCGGGCGAGCGCGACGGGCGCAGCGACTACGGGTAGAGCCAACGGGGTTCCCAGGACGATGGCCTGCGGATTGATTGTGAGAACATTTCGTAGGAGTCGTGGTCGCATCCAGATACGCCTGTAGAAAGATTGGTCGCTATTGTGGGAGATCAGATCGGTGGCTGCGCTGGAGTAAAAAGCCCAGGCTTTCTTCGATAGCGAGTCCCGGGCTGCATCCTCGAAATCGTGGGAGCTGAGTATGGCGTTCAGCTGGGGTTTGGCAGTAGTTTGGGACGGGGTCTGTGGGGTGGACCTGTTTCTCCACGTTCCGTCCACCGAGGACGGGTCTAGCTGGCCCATCAGCTGGGTTGGAGGGAGGGTCTTGATTGTGGCTGGTGTGTGAACTTCATTGTAGGCGGCAGTAGCATCACGACCGGCATGACGGAGGATAACTTCGCATAGAGTATTTGTTTTAGCGGATGAAATGGGGTTTAATATATGAAGTAGTTATGTATACATGGAGATAGGACATACTCTCAGCTCCACCTGGGTGGTCTGGGGCAAAGATGGAGACATCCCAGACTTGGTTATCGATGACCAGCCAACAGTCATTGGGGGAATCGTGGCGAGCGACTTCCTTCGTGGAAACCAAGCGTGGAGACATTGGAGGCATTGGAGAGTGGATTGGGGTAGCAGCAAAGGGAGGGTACTACCGAGGTATGTAAGCCTGGAGGTAACCTTGAAAGAATAATATCTTAGGAGTAAGCTGAACACAGCCTACTACCCTATAATTGCTTTTTAATGTTGATCACCGGGGTATGTTGTATGTTGTACACATATATTCGATCTATCATTTTTATCTTTATACATTTACACAAAGGATAACTTCACTAGGTACGGAGTAGATATCACGCAATAAACCCCCTATATAATGAGATACATTTTACTCATGCTATTGCCTCTGCTAAAACATATAGTATTCTCGTACGATTAATAGGCAAGAAATAGAAAGAGAGAAGAAAGCCAGCTTAATAGGGAGATGATAGAGCGTTGTAAATTCTTAACAAAGAAAAAAGAAAAAAACGAAAAACGAAAGAACGTTGATAAAAACAGCTGAATGGACCTTACTAAATTACAAATTACATAACTATTACATATTACATATTACATACATGTCGTTATGTAGGTATAGTACATAACTAGTTGGATATCTGTACATAAATTGATGATTGGCGCTCTGAGACGAACTCCTAAACCAATCAAATCAATCAAATCTCGAGAATGTTTAAAATATAAGTAATTCAAATTCAAATTCAAATCCATTGCCCAGATATACATCTATATTTATTGATTTCTCATAAGAACGCGGGTCAGGTCGACTAAGGGGGATCGACTCCCGTTGTGGGGGACATGATCCATCATGAATCATCGATTCCTTTGACCTGGGCAATGGTAGGCCCACAAGTTATCCCTACGTGAAGTTGGGAGTCATTCCCCACTGACTCATTCCATATTAATTCCAAGGTTTCTTTCCCCCATCTCCTTAACTGCTTTTTCTCGTGCTCGACTCTGCCTCGAACTTTGTCCTTTCAAAAATGTTGGAAAGCATCAAGCTCTTGGCGTCTGCAGTCGCCCCTCCACGAAAGAATTTTATTGGTCGAGTCTCGGATCACCACGAGAATCAGACCGCCGCAGAGGAAAGCAGCCTGCGGAGTGGCAGTGGGGATGGCTCCACGGAGGAACGCAAACCAAAGCATGCACCATTTGTGATTTTCTGCCTTTCATGCATTACCTTCGTAAGCTGCTACTTAGGCGGCCTGGTTACTGTCTCCGTGCCCCAGATATCTGAAGACCTGCAGCTGAGTCAGGGTATGGAACTATGGTATTTTGATCCTTTACAACACGCTCCGTGATCGAGTTGATAGCTAATCAGTGTAGGCCCGTGTCCATGTATGCATTAGCCACTGGTTGCACCCTGCTCATTTTTGGTGCCGTCTCCGACGCGCTAGGTAGTAGGCTCATTTTCCTGCTAGGCTGCTTCTTCCAGAGTATCTTCTGCATGGCCTGTGGCCTCGCTGAGAATGGCACGCAGCTCGTCGTGTTCCGTGTCTTCTCCGGCCTGGCAACCGCCATGTGTCTCCCGTCGGCCGTGAGCATTGTCTCCGAGAATTTCTCCCCAGGAAAGCTACGCAACCTCGCTTTCTCCTTCATTGGAGGTGGCCAGCCTATCGGATTTGGACTAGGCATGCTGATGGGTGGTGTCTGCGCCGACACGATCGGCTGGCGCTGGGGCTTTCATAGCGCCGCCATCGCCAACACAGTCGCCTTTCTTCTGTCATGGTGGCAGCTGCCGCAAAATAAACAAATCGGCATCAACTGGGTCCTCCTCTCCGCCATTGACTGGCTCGGTGCTATTGTTATCAGCGCCGGCTTGGCCCTTCTTTCTTTAGCATTAGCGTGCGTCCCCCTCGACCTACTTCAGACAACCCTAACTAACCGTTTCCTAAGCATCATAACCTCCGACGTAAATAACGCCCGTAAAGCCTCGACAATAGCCTATTTTGCTGTCTCCGGTGTTCTACTCGTGTGTTTTGTCATCTGGCAAGAATATCAGGAACGACGCGGTAAACCGACACTCATCCGCAACTCACTCTGGAGAAACAAGTCCTTCACCTCAATCTGTATTAACGTCTTTATAATCTGGGGCGCCTTCAACGGCTTCGAACAGATAATCAATTTTTTCTTCCAGAACGTGCAAGAACTCTCTGTCCTGGACGCCGCTCTCCGCTTCATTCCCACCCCTATCACAGGTCTTCTCAGCGCCCTTGTTACGGGCTTGGTACTACACCGTATCCGCGCCGACGCCATTATAAATATCACGATTATGATCTCCTGTATCTCCCCGCTTATGATGGCCCTCGTCAATCCGTCCTGGATCTACTGGCGCTGCGCCTTCATCGCCATCTGCCTTAACTCCATCGCTGCCGACTCTCTCTTCACCGTGTCCAACATCCTCATTGCCGACATGTTCCCGCCGGAGACGCAGGGCCTGGCGGGGGGTGTTTTTAATACGTTCTCGCAAATTGGAAAGAGTTTCGGACTGACCTTTGTCGAGTTGATTGCCAATGTCGTCAGCGATAATAAGGCCGCCCCCGGAGAGAGATACGAGCCGGATGGGTTCATGGTCGGGTACCGGGTGTCGTTCTGGTTTTTGTTCGCGGCGAATATTATCTGCCTGGTGGTTGGGGCCATCGGACTGCGGAAGGTGGGTAACATCGGGAAGAAGCGTGAGTAGTAGAGATGTGCTGGGGAGTTGCTTTTGTCGCAAAGTCGAAGGGTTTGATAGAGTGGCCTTACTGTAAAATTTAATGGCAAAATTGGGTTTTTTTTCGCAATGTCGCTTGAATGAGAATGATGGGCCAAAAATGATAGGCTTAGAGGGCTTGGAGTACTACGTTCACCGAGTGTAAGAGGTAACTGGGTCCTTTGCCAGGACGGTCTTGTCAATCAGGTAAATAATACAGATAATAGATGAATGTAAACAGTAGTGAACTATACTATTTACATCTTCACATGGATATATCGCAAACTATTTTCTCGACACATTTCGGCGTCAGCTAAGTAACCATACCAGCTTCTCGGCATTTTTACACCCTTCGCTCTCTATAGCATGCTCTGGACGGGCTGATTAGTCTGATTACCAGGTACAATGCCAGAGAAGTACTGATCTAGCATCTCAGCTGTCGCTCTCCCCTCCACCAACCTCACGATGCACCCAACATACCCATCGGGACGCACAACGACCACTCCCCCTTCCCGCGGATCGAAACCCAACTTCGCATGCGCTGCCCCCTGGCCCCCAGCGTGGGACTTTCGGCTGCGCGCATCATCTGAGTAGATGTGATACCGGTAGGGCAGGAAGAACTGTGGCAAAGCGCCGATCTCGACGGACGCGCGCACCGCATTGAACACGATGGAAAAGGTACACAACGGCGAGTGTGGGTTATGCCGGCTCTCGTACGATAAATCTGGTTCCATGGGACCGTGAAGAACCCGCGAGAACACCGATTCTTGGCCCGAAAGTTGTGCCGCTAGGTCTGCCAGTGCGCTTTGTTGGTTCTGGTGCTGCTCGCCGGCGAACACGTACACATGGAAGCTGCCGTTGAAGGGGACCTCCCGCTCCAAAGGGATCTCGCAAGCGTCAATCACGCGCGTCACGTTGATTGGGGGGAAGCTGCGGCCCGGCTGGAGGGTGCAAACCGAGGGAAGAGAGATGTCATCGGCGGTTTCGCCGATCTGGGTGAGGATGTTGGGCGGGTATTCCACGCCGTAGCCGCTGGTCAGCAGGGAATTCTGCTTGAAGATGCGGACGAACTCATCGTTGGTCTGCTGTGAGAGATTTTGCGAGCTGAAGAGACCGGCATAGGTAGCGTCAAACTCGATCAGCCGCGAGGCGACCGCGCGGCGTTCCTCTTCGTATGTGTGCAGCAGCTCTGGGCGCATTAGGCCAGATTCCACGAGATGGAGTTTCCAAGCTAGATTGTGAGAGTCTAGCAGTCCATAGTTCATTCCCTGACCGGCTTTGGGCTGTGCTTGTCAGCCCTAATCCATGGCTTGACCGTGAGAGAGACTTACGCTGTGGGTGTGGCAGGCGTCGCCGCCGATGAAGATACGGTTTTCCAGCGAGTACCGCTGAGAGATCCCCTGGCCAATGTGGTAGGTCGAGTGCCAATCTACGTACTCCCATTCGACATGGTACGGGCTTAGAATCTCGTTGGCCATGCGCTGGATTTTGGCCTGCGAGGCGGATGCGGATAGGTCCTTGCCTTCTCCGGGCGAGTTCTGGACGTATATACGCACGCGGTTGTTGCCTTGGGGGATGATCATGCAAGAGCCGCGTGGCGAACGGATGGTGCATTTCATCTACGGCCGTTAGTTTTGATGGTGCTCAGAGGAAGACAGTGGATGAAGAGAAAGCGCACCTGCATATCCGGAAAATCCGACTTCACCACCCCGTCAATCACACTCCACACATGCACAGTCGGATCCTTATAGATCATAGGAATGTTCAGCAAGTTACGCACGGCACTACGAGCTCCGTCTGCGCCGAACAGGTACTTAGCCCTGACTGTCTCCTTGGCCGAGCCATTGATGCTTACTAGGTCCACGTCAACGGGGTACTCAGACCCGGGCCCACGGTATCTCGCGGCCTGAATCGTCCACGGCCGCTGTACCTCGACCCCACGTGACCGTAGATCCTCAAGGAAGACGCCTTCAATGCGGCCCTGGTGAAGGATAGTGGTGAATGGGTAGCGGGTGTCGATGTGGTCTGGGTAGCTCTTGCTGGTACTGGTGCGCTGGATGCTCTTCCTATCTGCGGTCGCACCCCAGAAGGCAACCTCGTAGATGAGGCCCGGGTTGTACGCCCAGATGGGTCTCTTTAAGCCCATGGTATTCAGGACATCCAGAGTTCGGGCCTGGATGCCGTCCGCGCGGCCGATAGTTGTTGGCTCGGCGCGGTTGTCGACGTGTTTGATCTTATAGGGACCCAGGCGGGACAGACAGAGGGATAGCATGAGCCCCACGGGACCGGCACCGACTATTACGACGTCGTATTCCTCAGCCATTTTGTTTTTGACTGACCACTGGGAGGTACAGAGGACAGAGAGGACATATAACACAAAGAAGATATAGGAGAGAATAGGAGGGGAGGGGCGAGTGTAGATCGCTTTGCTTTATTATATCTCATCAACGGCTCAGCTCCCCGAAGAAATGCATCGTGTCTAAAGTCCCATTGATTGACCCTGCGACTGAACCGACTGCACGACTCCGCCCGCTGGCTGTATACTCTTGACGGCACGCCATCGGACCGTAGCCACGTACTAACGCAAGCAAAAGAAATCGGATTCGCCCTTACTGGAACGCAACTTTTCTTTTTTTCCGTTTGAAATTCACTAGTAATCTGATCTATACTCGTCATATGGATGCGGTGTGAGTTCTGAGCCGTTCCGTGACGTAGGTCACATAAGGGCCGGCTTTCCTTCTCCTTGTAGCCAAGTGGTCTAGCGGTCAGACGAAAATACTATTATCCTTTACTACTTGGCATTGAATACAGGGAATTTTATTAGTGAGCGGGGTGCACTTCTAATTTGCTTCCGTGCGATTTCTGATCTCGGCGTTCGCCAACATGGGGTTGCGTAGCATACATATGCATCGGACTTGCATGCATATGTAGTGTCACTAGACATTGAGTAATCCCTAGCCGCATAGCTGAGCATGGAACCTGCGTGTGACCAATGGTACACGCAAGACGGAATGATCTGACTAACTATGTAGCTTACTATCCTCCTCCCGTTCGGCCCATCTCAGTTCCCACCAAGACATCCGTTCAATACACCCCAAGCAAGACGAAAAAGACAAGCTTAGAATAAGCAGAAATGGGCAGCATTTCACCATACAACCTCGACCCCGCGCAGTACACGTTCCCCTCGCCACTGAAGGGCTGGGAGAACCATGCGCCTCTGTCCGAGTATAGGACATTCCCGACACTATATACAGACGGCAGTGCTGACAGAATCATAGATCCAAAACACAAGACGGAAAGAGCTATGACAGTCCTGAGAAAAGTACCCTCAGCGATGCTTACGAGAACTTCGTGGCGCCGGTTTCGAATGGCGGCCGTCTCGACTCCCAGCTGCCTGGGTTCGACGTGCACGTATACTTCAATCCTGTAATTCCCTCGCCGTGTGCCAAATCTCCATTCATTTACTGAGAAGATGACAGCATGATGAGTCCCAAGTAAGCTATGCAAAGGACTTGTGGACGCGGATCCGATTGGAATGTACGTGCTCCAATCCCATCCCCTTATTGTAACATCAGCATACTGATGGACGAAAATAGTTCCGGAGCTGAGAATATACCCCTTGCACACAACTCCACAAGGCCCCCACGCCCCGGGAATGTTCGAAGTGGCACTTTTCACGCCCCACCAGTTTGGGGCCTTCGTCAGCTGGCTGGTCGTGCACCGTGGACCGTTGAGCGCACTCGTGCACCCCAACACGGACGACGAGCTGCGCGACCATCTGCATATGACGGCGTGGCTGGGGCCTGAGGTGCCTTTGGATATGGGACGGTTCAGGTTGAGGCCAGTGTGCGAAACGATGGATAAACGGGCTGGGACGGTGACGAGGATTGTGGACACCGGGGTTGAGGGGAGGACCGTGAAAGAGGTCAAGCGGATGGAGTAGTTTGCTTTGCTATGCTGTTGGTAGACAATTCTTACTATATGAGCTGCTCGAGAAAATTGTGATGGATCCTAGGGTAATTCATACACTTGGTATTTGAATCGAATTCGTGTAGAAGACGCAGTTAGTCCACGACTAAGTATGGCTTAGGTGGAGAATATCAGTTTCCGGGACATACGATTCTGTCATGATTGCCTATTCGAACTGTTGTCATTGAGATAGATACAGTTTCATCACTTTGGGCTCTTCGATTAGTTCTTAAAGTCTATCTTTTCAAGGTGGTGAAACTAATTTCGAACGGACCTGTATGCTTAGAATCTTAAACTCATTCACAACTCATGTCATGACATCTATACCCATAATCTAGTACTAATCAACAAACTGATTAGTTCTTTACAATCGCGACTCTAAAGTTCCACCCGTCGTCTCCAACTTGAAAATTCCGCGTAGCGTCATCCCTAGACGTCGAATCGCCTCCCTCATATCTTCCGCCGAAGCAGCCGCATAGGTCATGCGGAAAAACACTCCTTCCATACCTCCCCTCCCCTCATCCGGCAAAAACCAGCTCCCCGGCACAACCAGTGCTCCACACTCTATGGCCGCATCGTAGACCTCCTTCTCGATCTGCAGCGTGGATTTACTACTCGCCTGGGGATGCTGAGTCCAGTCGACGGAGATCCAAGCCTATCATCCATTAGCACAGCATTCACAACTAAACCCCGCTCCAAGCAGAGCCATGGCCCAGAAGAAACAAATAAAGAAGGTGGAAGTGGGGAATGGACATACGAAAAATCCACTGGTAGGCGGCACCCAGCTAACAATCTCGCGCGGCAAGAAAGCATCACAAGCTTCGAACAACCCGTCCCGCCGCTTTGTATACTCGCCCTGCAGATGTGCTAGCCATTTGAAAAATCCCAGATGTCCCCAGCTATCATGAAGCAGCTTGAACAAGGCGATCTGCGAGAATCCACTCGGATTCTGCACAGAGACCTCATGTGCGCGGACCATCCGCTCAATGACCTGCTCCGACGCTGTCACCCAGCCCATGCGCGCGCCCGGCGCGATGATCTTTGAAAAGGAATCCATTCGCAGGACGCGGCCGTCTGTGTCTAGGCGGAGGTAGCTGGGGACCAGGGTCTCTGCGTATTTCTCTACCGAGGTAATGGGAGCGGGGGTGACTGTGCCGGCCCCATCGGGGTGGTAGACCGGCATCTGGATGAAGTAGTAAGGGTCGTCTTCGACTATGAACAGGTCGTGCTTCTGGGCAACCCGGTAGATGGCCTGTCGACGGGGGAGGGGCTGCGTAATACCTGTGGGGTTCTGGCCTGTCGGAATGGTGTACAGCAGACGGGGTTTCCTGCCACCGCGAGCGGACTCATCCCAGGTTGAAAGGACGAGGTCAAGGTCGTCAGGTAACAGGCCGTCTTTGTCCATGCGCACCTGGGTGAACCGATAGCCGAGTGGAAGCCCGGTCTCGAAAACGGTCGCGTAGGTGTGCTGCTCGACGAGCAGGTGCTCACCGGTCTGGCCGAGCATACGCAGGACAATCTCAAAGGCGGAGGTGTTACCAGCACTGAGGATAGTTTGCCAATTGCGGTAGGGGGGGTTGTGGATGAGCTGGTTTCGTTAGTCTAGCGGCGGGTAGTGGAGAGTCATAGCCGTACCTGGACATGTTCCGTCAAGAACTTGACTAGCTGCTTGGAACCTGTGCCTAGTCCGTACTGCAGCCCGATTGCCAGGTCATAGATACTGGCTCCGGTCGTGCTGTCATGCTTACCAACGTGGATGGAGGTCGTTGTGTCAGGGATCTTCTTGCCGACGGTCTCGAAGGCGTCCGTCGAGCCGACCTCAAAGTCGATGCCGTAGAAGGGGAAGTATTCTGTGGAAGGCGCACCAGGGCCGAGGGACCGAATGCCTTCTCATACGTTAGAGCATCCTTTCACTGCGGGTGGAGGGTCGAACCTGGCTTGGCCAAAATCCCATGCATTGCTTGCATTACGGAGTCCTATGATTTCGTTAAATTCCGCTCTAAGATGACTAAAGCAGCATTACCTTTCTCGACGCGCTCTCGGCACTGAAAAGATCTATTATCGGTTAAATAAATCGTGGAGTTCGATGCAGAGTCTTCCTTACGAGACCAGTCGTGCGCATCTTTAGGTACATCTTTGCGCGGTGCGGTGCTGCCACTGGAGGTGTCTTGATATTCCATTTTGGATGATACAGCGAATGAAGGATTGATGTGCCCAACAATTGAAATGAAGAGGTTATAAGGTCAGCCATGTCAAATCGGACCACAGAAACCAAAGACATGACAAACGCCTTCAACGTGGCAGAAAAGCAACGCACGATGTGCAAAGCAAGGGGTCATCAATGTGATCCGTTGTATGCTATTTTAGTATCCTCGATGAAGCACCTTGCTCGATCGCTACTGCAAGGACGGGCCGCTTGAGTGGCGCCCCAGCACAGGGCTATTGCGCCATCTGCGTCATTCGTCATCCTCCTAAGGTTCGTTTCGTGCGGGTCGCGGACCGCGGCCGATCCCCGTTTCCCTTGACCCACCCTTTCCCCACATTTCACCCTGAGGGGTACAGTAAACCCCCGTTATAACAAATCAATTGATGCACGGTGAAAATTTCGTTACCTAATATATAATGCGTAGTACTTTTGGTTTAATTACCTTTTTATACTCTAAAAAGGTCATTAAAAAAGGTCATTAATATCATTCTGCTTCTACACCCTTGGTTTTCTCTTTTCTCACTTCTCCTAACCTCCATGTCTATTAAACACAATAATTAGCAACCTTCGTAGAGCAACCCTTTGAGAGGTTAGGATTGATCGGCGAGGAATTTGAATTGATTAAAATTACTTGCAAATGACGTGACAAACTCTCAATATAACGCATTTTGTACGGGGGAAATGGTAAATTAAGGAAATTCGTAGTAAGGAGAAAAGTTTGTTATTACTATGGTGGATCAAATGAAGCAATTGTTTTAGTTCGTTAAACCCAGCCATCCGTTATATCCACCTTCGTTATAACGGGGGCTTACTGTAATCATGCATTCGGAATCGACTTCTGACATGGATATACTGTACGGATAATACATATGGAATTTAATGCAGCCACGGGGCGGCGACACCTGCACGCTTGCCTTCGGGGTACCTCGGTGGGGATTTGAGGCATCCCATCACGCTGCAGAAAGATGCAACTCCATTGGCGCCAAACTAGTTGACGACGCTCAACAGGGATAGACATGGAACGCTTGTGCAACCCCATTTTCATGCATTCCAGCTTCAGCTGTTTTGTGGTACGTAAGCTGTTTTTGATATGTCTGCTGTTTGATCGGATGAGTCGGTGTATGTTCGTTGGATGTCATCATCGTGGCTAGTCAGCGCAGTCGCATCAGAGCTGAAAGGGTTCGTAGTTCATCCAAGGACGTATAAATCCAGCTGGACCAACCGGCCTGGCTCTGTTCCTAGATAAGGATTATCTCCATAAGATCACCTCAACCAATTGACCGTCTATTTTTTCTTTCTTCTCTTCTCCTTGAAAACAGTATCCACAATGGGCTATCCTGTAGTTCCTGCCAACCGTGCGGTCATCCGCACCATGAACCCCAATTACATCGGTTTCGATTACATCGGCTGGTACGTTGGTAATGCCCGGCAGACAGTGTCCTACTTCGTCAACCACTACGGGTTCTCAGTGCTGGCGTATCGCGGACCTGAGACTGGTTCGTTTGCAACGACGGCATACGTTGTCGGCAATGGGGCAGCCCGGTTCGTGTTCACAGCGCCGCTCAGCTCTCCTGACTGCTCGTGGGATACACGGGCCAGCGAAGATGAGCGCAAGTTCTGCTCTGACCTGCACGCCCACCTGACCAAGCACGGCGATGGCGTCAAGGACATCGCGTTCCAAGTGGACGAGGTGCGCAGCGTGTGGGCAAACGCGGTCGAGAACGGGGCAGAGTCCGTCCGGGAGCCGGAGGTACTCAAGAGCGACGAGGGTGAAGTGCTCATCGCTGCCATCCGCACGTTCGGCGATACTATCCATACGCTAATCAACCGGTCCGCATATGACGGACAATTCCTGCCCGGGTTCAAGACCGTCGAGAATACCCACAATCTGCAGAAGCACCTGCCGAAGCTCGATATAGTCGAGATCGACCACTGCGTTGGCAATCAGCCGTGGGACGGACTGGATGGAATCGTCGAGTACTACGAGAACGCGCTCAACTTCCACCGGTTTTGGACTGTCGACGACAAGGAAATGTGCACTGAATTCTCAGCCATGCGTTCGGTTGTGGTCGCGTCACCAAACGAGGTGATCAAGATGCCGATGAACGAGCCGACGGTTGGAAAGAAAAAGTCCCAAATTGAGGAGTATGTCTTACCCATCCTTATTTCACGTGCTTTCTCCCATTTGCCATCCATACTGCTATCCCAGGATGTCAGCTAATGATACAGATTCTGCGACTACTACAACGGCGCAGGCTGCCAGCACATCGCATTACGCACTAACAACATCATCGAAGCGGTCGACAGCCTGCAGAAGCGCGGCGTGGACTTCCTCTCGGTGCCGGACACGTACTACGTGGACGTGCGGAAGCGGCTGCAGCGGATGGGAACCAAGGTAGCCGAGGACATAGACACGCTGCAGCAGTATAACATCCTCATCGACTTCGACGAGGGTGGGTATCTGCTCCAGATATTTACCAAACATGTCGGCGACCGGCCCACCGTTTTCCTAGAGATCATCCAACGCGAAAACTTCGACGGGTTCGGCGCTGGTAACTTCAAGAGCCTGTTTGAGGCGTTTGAACGCGAGCAGGCACTACGGGGAAATCTATAACCTTACGAAATGGTTATATCTAGGCGAGGACTAAAATTTTAATTGAGCTCTTAGGGTAGGGGACGGCGTGAGTCTCCGATTTCTTTGATATTGCGTGGTGTGATCCAATCACGAATCTGTGAGTGGATTAGACTGGTAAAAAGGACATCATGTAATTTAAGTAGTATTCTGTGCCGAAATCGGGCCGATTCTGTGAGACCATGTAGGCAATCTCTGGATTTAGGTATGTAAGCTTGTAGAATCCATTAAACTTGTAGAATGATAGGTGTTCTGTAGTGATAGACTGAACGCTGGCACTTCCACTCTTATGTAGATTCTTAAAAAACATTTGAAGGGCCTCTTTATAGCTCTGCTAATTGTCTCCGCAAGCCCCCTTGATAAGGATTCATACATAGCTTATAATGCTATATATCAAGTCTCCTTGTGAAATTCAAACTGTAGTTCTTCCTGATAATTTACTATGCGTTGTGTAATATAGCGTTAAAGCTTTCGTTACGCCAGCTTCCTATTCTAGATAAATTCGAATGTTGTTTGGATTATACATGTTCCATCCAGTAATAGACCCCACTATCTTACTTAGTAGCATATTCGCAACTGAGACGCCAAGTTACTCTACTTCCTTATCAGAATGGACTGTGCTTACGTCCATAGAAGAAACCTCCGATGTTCCTTCCATATGAGAACCGTAGCTCGTAGACGAAGAGTGCCACTATCAAGGCCTACTTTTGCCGGATCGTTTTCTTTCAGAGGCTCAAAGAAAGACCAGGTGTCCCATCCAGTCCCTTACCAACATCTTCTCCAGTAATATTATTAAAAAAAAATGACAAAAGACTTTACTTTCCAATACCTAATAACAATCCCTATTCTGAGACAAAGATATATAAGCAACATGTAATAAAGCTAATACATTGTCCGAAATATACTTGTATTATATTATTAATTAGCTCGTATATGCTTAAACAGTATAATGGCCCTAATAAGTGCATTCTTTCCAGATCTGTCTAGGCTGTAAAAGATAGAGCGAAGGATGCACTTCAAGCTTTCCTTCAGCACGGGTGGGATATCAATCAATCGATGAGTGAAGTGAAACCCCCGGTACTCGGGTGAGACCTAGAATATTAATATCTCAAACCTAACAACTCGCGTAGTAATCTGATGTCTTTTAGTAACGCGATCAAAGACAATGCTAAGGTGACCTGGCTCCTTGATCACGGAGTAGATCTAAATTGACAATGTGCTATTGACCTGACTCCGCTTTCTCATGCCGTCGAATGCGCTCCGATCTCTATCATTGAACTTACGTTGGCTCATGGTGGTGATATCCGAAAAGGCCAGCCTGTGCACCATGCGATTGATCGGCAATCAGAGAATATCGAAGTGTTGAAGCTTCTTATCGGGAAAGGTGTAGTCATCAATGCAACTATGTACTAGGATCATTATCCCTTGTGGATGTTATAATATTTTATGGGCCGTGGCACTGTTTTATATCGAGCATCTGAACGTGGCAAGGTGGACTTAGTTCGGTACTTGGACGGCGAAGGAGTAGATCCGAGTATTACCGACGCAAATGGTCGTACGGCTATAGAATGCACAGCAATGTTGAACCAGAGAGCTATTCAAGAACTGCAGAAAGGAAAACATCTCATGTCTTCGTGAGATCAAATGCGCTTCAGCGTTACTTGGATTTATATGCTTCGGGTTGACCTTCATAGTTCACTAGTTGTCCTCACCCCCGCGCCTAACAAGGATACATGGCCTTTAATACTAGATTCCAAGTCTATTGGTATTTCCAAACCGTGGTTTTTCTGTGATGCACTGTGCATCGTAGAAAATAGCTTTGAAGCAGGGCATAATTTGAGCAGGTGTCCCCATTCAAATTAGGTGGAGACCGTACTTGTTAATCACACCGCAGACCACCTAGAGACTATTTCCTTACCTCTTATTCTAAATACATTCAGGCGCTATTTGACTTATTATACATGTTCTGGCAATAGATCGCGCACCCCCTTGCTAAGCAACATGTTCGCAACTGAGATACCGAGTTGCTCTGCATCGTCGTCGGACTGGACAGTGGTAACATCTTCAGAAGATATATCTGACGTTCCTTCTATATGGATAACGGTAGCTCGCAGACGAAGGGTGCCGCTATCATGGGCTGTGTCTGCCAGATCGTTTCCTTCCAGAGGCTCAAAAGAAGACCAAACGCCAATTGAAGACGAACATCCTCCTTGAAGACTGCGAAGCATCGCCCTCTCTGCCATACCGCGCCATCTCGACGGTTTATGGTCGACATGTTGGACAAGTTGCAGGATGTCTTGATGGTCTGTGTTGAGCTCGATACCGAGTGCGCCTTGCCCAACCGCATAAGGGAATACGGTAGGCTCAAGTCGTTGCGTGATTCGATGGCCGAGTCCTAGGCGTAGTAGGCCAGCGGTCGCCAAGAGAATACAAGAAAATGGCGAATCAGGTGCATCAAGCTTAGCAAGGCGGGTATCTCTGATATATCCTTATTAGATCATGTCTATGATATGGAGCGAATGTAGCGAGTAGCAGCAAAAGGAGAATAAATCAATCAATACTTACAAGTTCCCGCGACATTCTAGTATCTCTAAATGAGGCCAGTTTCGTCGAACTAGAGCTCTCCTCCTCGAAGAGCTCGATCCAACTACGGAGCCAGGTGGTAATTGATCGATAGATTTGAAAACCGAGTCGGATCTCATTACGACAGCATCGGAACAGTCCTCACGCTCAGGAATAGCTCCAAGGAGAAAATTCGGTGGCAGCATTGTCGGCATGTCCTTTAAACAATGGATAAGAAATTGGACCTTGCCAGCTGCCAAGTCCTTTTCAAGACCATTGGTCCATAGGCTTTTGCCAACGTCTGATCCACCGGTCTGCTTAGAGAGGAGGATGAAGGGAGTCTGCTTATCTGCATCGCCAACGACACTGCTTGTGGCAATCTCAAATGTCGGGCAGGGTTCGAGCTTTTGTTTCAACTCTGATATGATAGTCCGAGTTTGGGTGAGTGCGAGCTCCGATTTACGACAGCCAACAACGACAGAAGGATCACGAGATGAGATTTCTTCTGTCTCATGCTGCGGCTGAGAGCCGTTCGGGTTAAGGCTCATGGTGACGAGATACGAGTTGTTGCTTCTTCACGTTGGAAATTGAGACATTTTTTGTCTTAATATCGAGGTCCACGTGACGTGAGATATCCCTGCCACTTGTCCTAATCATTTCGCCTAGCGCAAGAAAGGAAACATCACATGTGAAGGCAGAACCTCCTATCCCAAAAGGTTGGAAGGTTATTGTGGTGGCTTCTGCAACTACCCAGCCTGGGGATTACTGCACGCAGAAGAACAGATATGCTCATGCATTCGGTAGTGATCGTCGTCTGGCGCAACCATTATCATAGTCCATGCTCGTTGGTGAGATGGTGAAGAAACTTGACATCAAGCCCGATGCAGCAGTTGCTTTTGACTGGGAATGTCAAGCTGTTCATGTTGCGCTCAGTCCTTGAAGATTCTACACTGGTGTGAAGTATGAACAAGGCTTACGGATTGCTAAGATGTGGTTCAACTGGTGAGGTGGAAGTTTTGGCTATCAAGTTGTCTTTTGTGCTTTTGCCCTCTATTAAGATCAATTTGTCTTTAGTAATAGGGGACATGAGTAGGATTTTTTTCTTGGATCAAAATTGTGAGAAGGTATATTTGTTTTGATATATTATGAACCTCCCATTCAAGGAGTACCATCACGTGAGACACTTTCGCCAATCCTCCGAGATCGCTCAGAGTGGAGTCAAAGTCTTAAATTGGCATTGACCAATGGTAATGGCTGTACGTAATTTGATTTGGGGTCAGTTGGGGTAACTCTTCTTCGGCCAAAAGAGTCAATCATTGACGATCTACGCAGTTGAGTGATTTCAACGTTTTAACGTTTTTATTTGGTGTGGTTTCCGACTGGCAACATTCTTTCTTGAACATTTCCCCAGCCCACATTATAATCGAGGCTCACCCGAGGACCTGAATGAATTGACGAATCAATGTCTTGATCCGATCTCAACTGACCCCGTTGGATTACTCGATCATCGAAGTTACGACACAAGTCATAGGTCAAACGATACAAACCACCCGACAACAATCGGAAATTACCACATCACCATGATCTCTACCGGCCTGAACCCTCACCTCAGCGCAGGAAGCACCAAAATGGCCACTGTTCCAGCGCTGGCCGCAGCCAAAGCCGAAGAAACGACTCCAGAGTCGCGCGTCCTAATCATCATGACCGGCGGCACAATCTGCATGCAGCCCTCACCAGCCGGCTTCATCCCCGCGCGGGGATTCCAAGAAAAATGCATGGCGCGAGTCCCCACCTTCAACGACGGCTCGGCCAGCGCAACAATGGACGTGGTCGCTAACGCCGCGGGCGAAATAAAAGAACATCCAAGCCTACGCACACCGATGACAGCCTACGGACGACAGGTCCGGTACACGGTTTTCGAGTTCGAGGAACTGCTCGACAGCAGCTCGATTGACGCAAAGGGCTGGGCTCAAATCGCCGAGGCGATCGAGCGGAATTACACCCTCTTCGACGGGTTCGTTGTCCTGCATGGAACGGATAGTCTGGCGTACACGTGCTCGGCGCTCAGCTTTATGCTGCAGAATCTTGGGAAGCCGGTTGTTCTTACTGGGTCGCAGGCGCCTATGCTTGAGCTGCAGAATGATGCTACGGATAATCTGCTCGGGTCATTGGTTGTTGCAGGTCATTTCATGATTCCTGAGGTGTGTTTGTACTTTAATAATCGGTTGTTCCGCGGGAATCGGACGACGAAGGTTGCGGCGAGTGATTTTGCCGCGTTCGATGCGCCGAATTGTGCTCCCTTGGCGGTTACGACTTCTATGCGCACTAATGTTAATTGGGATATGGTGCATCGGCCGACGAGCTTGGTGCCGTTTAGTATTCAGACGAATCTGGATACTACCCATGTTGCTTGTCTGCGTATCTTCCCTGGTATCAAGCCCGAGATGGTGGATGCGGTGCTGAAACTGGATGGCTTGCGCGGGTTGATTCTTGAGACTTTTGGCGCAGGAAATGCGCCCTCCGGTCAGGATAATGCCATGATCAACGTCTTGGCCAGCGCTATCCAGCGGGGTATTGTTATTGTGAACATCACACAATGTGAGTTATGCCCCACTGCTTGGCATACCGATCAAGGGTATGCGACTGACATATCTTCTAGGCCTCACGGGCAGCGTTAGTCCGGTCTATGCCACAGGCATGAGTCTCTCCCGAGCAGGTGTCGTAGCCGGTCTCGACATGACAACCGAGGGAGCATTGACGAAACTCGCCTATCTCCTCGCTCTGCCAGAATCCACACCGGAATCCATCGCCAAACGCATGTCAGTATCTATCCGAGGCGAACTCACTGAGTCATCCCTGCCTATCTTCCGACACCCGGACGGCGCACTCCCCGAACGCATCCAGACACTCACATCAATGGGGTATGCCATCGCCGTGGGCGACCTGGAGAAGGTCCAAGCCATCACCAAGACCGAACACCACTGGCTCCTGAACGACGCCGATTATTCCGGCAACACGCCCATCGTAAGCATCATCCCACCTCATTTCCCGTCCCAATCCTCTCCCATCCCCTGTCACCAATTCCCTATCTCTCGCACCCCTTATCTCGAACACATCACTAACCCAACACAGCACCTAGCAGCAACATCCCCGTCAATCGAAATCCTCCACTTCCTCCTATCTCAAGGCGGCTCCGTGCACCTCCGCAATCGCGCCGGCCGCACCCCGCTCTTCCTGGCCGCGAACGCGGGTCTCTCCGAGCACACGCTCCTCCTCCGCAAATCCGGCGCTCATCTGCATTCGGACGAGCGACCAGCCGCCGAACTCCTGGCGCGTCATCGCCCCTTCGTTTGGGGTATGGCTGGAGTTGGGCCGAAAGAGATAAGCCAGCGGGAGATGGAGGAGTGGGAACAGGATGGTGCTAAGAGCCGAATGATTCCTGGGTCTGCGCCTTCTTAGACTGGGGTTGTTTTCGTCATAGGTATCGTATCGGATTGGGTTTGGGATTAAGCTCAGCCGGCCCGGACTGGATTGTGGAATTTGGGGTTGGGATGTAGTGTGTGTCGTATGCCTCCTTGCTTTATGTAGGATGGTTTTTTTACCTTTTTTTTTTTCTGCTTACCTATAGCTTGATGTGCTATCCATGGATGAATGTGCCTCCTTTTTTTTCTAAAAAAAAAAGGGGGCATTGACCTCGTCCCCTAGGTAAGCAATATGGGTGACTTCTTTTGGGGGGTGGAAGTTTTCCCTGCTTTCTTCAATAGATCCAGTTGGGCGGGAATGACTGCACTTTACGTCTGGTATGGTGACATCGTGCAGTATAGAATTACTTAGAATAATATACACCATCGAGTACACTGTCGGGCTTATTCTGACACCATATTTTGCACCATTTGGTTAATGTCGCACATTATCCGAATTTCGTACTTCATTTTTTGATCACGCCAGAACCCGAGTGGAACTTTGCACAAATGATGGCCCCTTTCTACTTCTATTGCCTTCTTTTAGCTGTGGCACCATCACCAGGCTGGAATACGGAATTTCATCCGCGGAGATCGGCCCCAGCCGTAGCCGGGATACAGCCACTAAGTGGGGAAGATAAGAGCATTTTTGCTCTTTTCGTTTTCGTTTTTTTCTTTTTCTGTTTTTCTGGGGTTTTATGGTTCGTGTATTTTGTACAGGTTATTTGCCAAGGTAGAAAGGATATTGTTAGGGTTCTAGATTTGTATAGAAGGGAAAGGGGATGACTCCAACTAATTGTCTCTTATGGTGGGGTTATATGTCTGCATGAATTCCTTTTTTTTTTTTGCTTTTTGTCCCTCCTTTGCTTTTTCCTATACCCACATCGTACAACCGACTAAGATAATAAGTATAGACCACGGAGTACTAGTATATATATACTGTAGTATTCCAGCCAAGCACACCGTGATTGCCTCATGGATCTAGAAAATAGTCTCATTTGTGGCTGATGCAGCAGGGAATGATGTGATGGTCATGTTTAGGCCTTATGAGAATTGCGGGGTTCAGGCACACCGAGATATCTAGTTTCACACTACGGAGTCATTTTCCCAACTATTGTGCTAGAAAGGTCCCTATAGGTACCTTGTTGCCCTGACCAATGGACGTATCGGGTGAAATGGCAAGCCGGACATGGCCAGTGTAGCACGTCAACCTGTGCCAAGGCCCCAACGCCGCTATTGGACAAGCACCAGCCCACATCCTGGAGCAGATATACGATATACACCACGTGAGACTGTCGCTGGCAGACAGTTGGTGGAATAGGAAGGCCTCTACGATGGTATGAAGTCACCTGCGCGATTTTAGTATTAACTAGTTTTGGGTAGTATTTCCCTCGGATGGGGTTCCGTTCTGGGTTCGAGGTCAATGCTGGCATGGATGTATAGATGTATAGATCTTTAGGTGTATATAGGTGTGTGATCTGTCTAGGATGGAATAGAATAGATGTACCACAATGACACCATCTAGGTTAAGATGAAGTAAAATCTAAGCCTATAAGTTCCCGAATAACATGACTTCCCGTTGCTGCCGAAAATATCCAGGTGTGGTGCCGATTTACGTAAAACCGGTGGACGAGACCGCACTGTGGATTTTCCTTTTTTTTTTTTTTTTCCTTTTCTCGGGGGATGTTCAGATTTGGTTATGGATTGAATATTTGGGGGATATATCACTCATATTAGAAAAGATCAAAAAAAAGGGGGAAATTATAACGTACGTTGCATTGGAATATAGTAGAATATAGTCATATATGTAATATAGTAATATAGGCAAGGATGTATAAAGAAATTCTTATCTTATCCTTTTCGTCTTCTCCGCGTTTTTCGGGATTTCAATGGAGTTTTTTCGATTTTTTTTCGATTTTTTTTTAAAAAATTTCAAACTTTTATTAAAATTGCAGATCAGAAGGACATAAGGGCAGAAGGACACCATTTGGAGTAAACTGACTGTTCCAATCGCATAATTTAGGTCTGATCACGATTCTTGTTACATACAACTTTCCAACCTCTACCCCACCATCGCAAAGCCCTTCTCGCCAAGGCTTACTCCGGATTTCTCTTCTTTTATCTGTCCTTCCTGCCCTCTCTGATAAACTCACTTCTTCATTACTTACTATACTTCCTCCCTTTATACCCCTCCCCCCTCGGTCCCTCCCCGATCAACCCGAATGACACAACCGCAGAAGACCATTGCCGTGGTCAACGCGACAGGCCGGCAAGCGGCCTCACTGATCCGCGTCGCGTCCGCCGTGGGGTACTCAGTGCGCGCGCAAATCCATTCCCTGAAAGGCGTCATCGCACCAGAACTCCAACAACTCCCCAATGTAACCCTCCTGCAAGGCCCGCTGCTCGGCAACATCGCCCTGATGGACGAGCTCTTCAGAGGCGCCCAGCTCGCCTTCATCAATACCACCTCCCAGTCCGGCGACGAGGTCGCCATCGGCCGTGACCTAGCAGACGCTGCAAAACGTTCCGGCTCAATCCAGCACTACATCTACAGCAGTATGCCGGATCATTCTGTTCATGGTCCTTGGCCTGCGGTCCCGCAGTGGGCGCCGAAGTTCACAGTCGAGAATTACGTCCGTCAGCTCGGAATGCCGGCTACTTTCGTCTACGCTGGTATCTACAATAACAACTTCACGAGCTTGCCATACCCGCTCTTCCAGATGGAGTTACTGGCAGATGGGAGTTTTGAGTGGCGTGCGCCGTTTGATCCTGAAATTCCGTTGCCGTGGCTGGATGCCGAGCACGATGTTGGTCCGACTCTGCTGCAGATTTTCAAGGACGGCACAAAGAAATGGAATGGTCATCGGTGAGTGCAGGAAACACAATCCTTAAAAATTCGGGGCTTCTCCCAGGGTCTACGGATTCCCATCCGGAATCCGTGGCGTAGAAGATAACTACGAGAGAAAGAACGAGAAACGAAGACAAACCAGCTAACACACCGCTTCTTAGTATTGCTCTCACCTTCGAGACCCTCTCCCCGTTGCAGGTGTGCGCAGCATTCTCGCGAGCCCTGGACCGTCCATGCCAGTACGTCCGCGTGCCCAAGATCGAGATCAAGGTCAACATCCCACCTGGATATCGAGAACAGCTCGAAGCGCTGGAGGAGCTATTCGGCAGATGCGATGCCCCCTACTTTCCACAGCCGGAGTTCTCACAGCCCGCCGCGGGCTCACCAAAGGGTCTTGGACCGGCGGGTGGAAAGGGCGCCGGTGCAGGGATGATGCAAGGGCCTGGCGGTGTTATCTCGCTTCGGGTGACAGACGAGTCTCGACATCTCTGGCAGGGCTGGCGCGATATGGAAGAGTATGCGCGTGAAGTGTTCCCTGTGGAAGAAGAGGCTAATGGTCTTGACTGGATGGTTTGAGATCTTTTTGTTTTTTGTCTTTGTGGCTCTTGCCCTCTGGCCTATTGATGACACTGCCTTGCTATTTTCACTTTTACAACAGTTCGATCTGGGCGGAGACATGCATGGTGATGTGTTCTGTGCATGTGACGCTGCCCTTGCTGTTTTCGTTCTGTTCTGTTCCTTTTTTTTTTTTAATCATTGCATTCTTGGCGAACGGGCATGGGATATATGGACTTTCATGACTTAACCTCGGTTCTTAATCGGAAGATGCTTGGGGTAGCATTGGACGAGGTTCATTTCGCTTTGTGGTTTGGTTTGATTTGATATCTGATCCAAATCACCGAAAAAAGTTGTTTTTTTTATTCGTTTTGCTTTCGTTTGCTTTTTGCTTTCCAATATTGCGGTTTCTTTCTACTTGGTTCAATGAACCTCATCCACCCCAAGCTTCGAAAAGGAAAAACAAAATATGGAATAAGATATCCCGACTCCGGTTACTGGCCATGAGATCTATGTGCTCGAATCTACGATCAGGAATATGCCCAATTTCTACTTTTCACTTTTCACTTTTCATTTCGCTTCACTCTTCACTTCCACTTCCACATCCCAGCAATTTGCCCCCTCTTTTTAAAACCCCCGAGATCAGATCCCGGAACTCATCCCCGACTCTTTTTCGTCTCCTTAATTCGTATCATCACAAAACGTGCCTCGTGCCTGCTGGCCCCGATTGACCAGTCCTGCAGGTCCCGTGTGTCCACGTTGAGGGTTTACACGCTGAACGTGCAGACCGCTCCTCTTATCTAACTGGGTCATGCATGAACTAATCATATGAGGGGAAGTTCGGACTCGGACTCCGGAGAGACGGAGATGAGTTGAAAGAGGGGGATTTGAAAAATAAATACATAATCTACTTGCTGAGGTGATGAATCTCTGAATATACTAATGCAGTCTCTACCTCCTATAGATGGGACTCTGCTCAAGATCCTAACATGAATTGCCGTTGAAATAAAGTATTCCTTATTTTTAGTTTATCTTATATGCTTGCTTTTTCCTTTTCCTTCGGTCTCCGCTTCCTTCTATCTAATCGGAGGGGTTTGAGATAGGATCTTGGATCTGATTATTGTGGCTATGTAGGTGGCGGTGCATGTTTATGGGATTTTCAGTGGTGAGGTACGTGATACACCAATTTTAGGGAGTCAACCCCTGGGCAAGATAGGGTAAGGGGATTTTTTTTGTTTTGGCTAAAATATAGACCAAGGGCCATTTACCTAAAACATATTGTTGATTGGTGAAAATGTATGCATTGGGGCTCCATTTGAAAGTTCTTATAGACATACGGTGAGGTTTTTACGACCTCCTGCATCTGTCAAATCACAATGAAAACATTGAAGTAAGATAGAATGTCTCTTACAGTCACACAGATTAAACACCTATGAACATGTAAACATCAAACTATGCATTCCCTACCACCTAGCATTGAATCTATCCCTTCCTTTACCCCTCTACAATATCCAATTACAAGCCCAACTAGCTAGTGCCCACCAGAACGTTCTATAATCGAAAAGTACTAACATTGGACACATTGAGCTCCACCCCAAATAAGATCAGCGTCAGAGTTTTCTCTTCATCTTTTTGGCCTATGATGTAGTACTCGACACCTCAGGCGAACTATCCGGACAACCCCCACCATTGTCCGTTGCCCGGTGGACACTGTGGTACACAGAGATACTTTGGTACTCCGCTGTAGTACCATGGAATTGGAAGTACTATCAAGTATCAGCATGTAGCTGTCCTAGCTCATCTCCTGCTGATGCGCGCATAGCTTTTTTTTTTTTTTTTTTTTTTTTTTTTTTTCTCTGCCGTCCTTGAATTGTTTTTTTCCTTCCTCTTGATCTTTCCCCCCTCCATTTCCTCTCTCTTTATAACATTGAACACTCAAGTCTGCGTGTTTGTTTCTTTTATTTACTTTTACGACCTATCTTCACGAATACACATTATGTCTAACGATCAGTCCCTCCTTGACCGCGTCGAGATGCCTAGCATCCCCGAGGCGGCTATGAAGAAGATTGCTATTTTGGAAGAGCAGTTCTCTCGTGCTGAGGTTGAGCAGTGTATGTTTCTGATTTCCTAGCTTTTGTTTGTCTCTCTCTTGTTATGGCGGGGCAAGTAAAACAGCTTGCAGAGTCTACTCTACCACGGGAACAAGACAATGGCATTGAGAAGCGTATGGAGTTATTGATGAACCAATTGCTAACATACACACTCTATAGTGCGCCACTCTGTCAAGCTCATGGCCCCCCTGATCCAGAAGCGCAGCGAGATCATCAACATCCCCGATGTGCAGGCTGAGTTCTGGATGCGCGTGTTCGCCAGTGCTCCTCCCGAGATCGACGAATACATTCTGTCTAGCGACGCCCAAGTCCTTGGCGAGAGCCTCAAGAACCTTACCGTCGAGCGATTCGAGCTTGATGCCCAAGGCAACGGCGAGCCCCGCAGCTTGCGCTTCACCTTCGAGTTCAAGACTGGTGAGGAGAACCCCTTCTTCACCAACGATAAGCTCGTCAAGGAGTTCTACTGGCGCCAGGAGGTCTCCAAGAACGCTGCTGGCAAGACCCGCACCTGGGAAGGTCTGGTCTCCGAGCCCGTCCGCATCAACTGGAAGAAGGATATGGATTTGACCAAGGGCATGCTCGATGCTGCTTGTGACCTTGCTGAGGCTGAGAAGAAGAAGGGCGGTGACCGTAAGAAGTTGCCCGAGTTCGCTGCTCTTGTTAAGAAGGTTGAGGAGGCCGAGGCTGAGATTGCCAACGCCGAGGATGATGAGGATGATGAGGACCCCAGCCCCGTTGGCATGAGCTTCTTCGGATTCTTCGGATACCGCGGCCGTGACGTCTCTGCCGCTCAGTCCAAGGAGGCTGCCAAGGAGATCGAGGCTCGCTGGGCCAAGATCCAGAAGGGCGAGGATATTGAGGAGGCCGGTGACTCTGACTCCGAGGATGAGGAGGATGACGACGCCAGTCTTGAAGAAATCGATATCTTCCCCGATGGAGATGACCTTGCTGTTGCCATTGCCGAGGACCTCTGGCCCGATGCGCTCAGCTACTACGGTATGTAGGCCCTGGACAGCGAGTGAGATGTTTCCCTCCCCGCTAACTTTGACCGCAGTTCAATCCTTCCAGATCGGCGAAGAGCTCGAAGATATGGATCTCGATATGGAGGAGATGGACGGAGAGGACTCCGATGAAGAAAGTGAGTCGCGCCCGCGCAAGAAGGCTCGCAACTAAAACGCCATGATTCCCCCTTTTGATGATTTTTGCTTTTACCTAACCCCTTGATTTTGTATTATCACAGTGCAATGAGGAGGATTAATAATAAGACGAGGACGAATATGAGCGTCGCGATACAAAACGAGGACCATGTATCTAGTCGGAAAAGTTAGTTTGAACTTTGAGATTCCCATACCATACCAGACCATCCATCCCAGTAGAGATCCAGCATGGACAAAGTAAATAGAGCAAAAAGGACGCAATCTTACCCTCGTTTTTGGCCACAATATGCTTGATACGCGACATCCCATTCGACAACTTCCCTCCAACCCGGTCGGCCAGCGTATCAACTTCATCGATCATGACAGCCTGATCCTCCAACTCACGACCCATATCATCAGCCTGCTGACGCAGATTCCCAACAGTGCGAAAAACACCATCCAGCTGCTCATCCTGCTCATGCATAAGCTCAGACTGGCGCTGCTGTTCCATAGAGGCATAATAATCATCCCCGCCACGCCCGCGCTCCTCCTCCTCGAGCGCAGCATCAAACTCCGTAGGATTGGGCAGTGTATCGACAGCAGAATTGGAAACAGCCTGTTGTAGCTCCTGGTGCATTTTTTCCACCTCGTCACCGACATCGTCGACGAGCTTGCGCCGTCGCTGCACCTCCTCTAGTTCCAGTCCATAGCGGTAGGGGTCTTGTTCGATTGCGCGCACGCTTTCGACCAGATCGTTCAGGTCGGCTGTTAGCTCTGTTAAGGTGCTTTCGAGCTCTGAGCGCGCTTGTTTGAGTTCTGGATTGGTTGGGCTTTTGGCTAGCGACCGGATGCGGAGGTATGAGGAGAAGAGTGGTCGGCTGGTTTGTAGGGTTGAGACAACGTCCCTGGTATCTCCGTGGTTAGTGGGGGACTTGTGTTTTGGGATTAATGTAGAGCTCACGCTTGGACTTGTAGGAATGGGTCTGCGTGCTCCATGGCGGTGGTATAGGGTATTGGGTGTGTTGTTGATAGTTCTCGGCTTCGGGTTGGTCCACGGGTGAGTCTGGAGCGGAGGCGGGTGTTGCTGACTGATTTCTACGGTGGGCTTTTGCGACAACTGCGTAGTTCTGGCCTGGAAAAACAGGTTTGTATCCAAATTTAACTCAATATTCAGCTATAATATCATGTTTATCTCCTTCTACGGGTGTTCTATGTCTTTTTTCCCTTTCCGAATGCTAAAAGGCTATACGCAGAAGAGAGGCTACAGGTATTCATTGCCCATATTTGGCCTCATTATGTAACCAGTAACCCTGAGTAGAAAAAAAGGCAAGAGCAAATGGCCATCCATTTTGGGAAGGTACGTGGGACGTGAGCATATAAAAGGACTCCCACCCCCCTTCCTCCTCTTCTCTTCTTCTTCTCTTCCTCTTCCCAACCCTCTCGACCGCCATATCTCCGTAGCCCCCATGAGACAGCGCAGGCGGAGGGTCTCTAAACATATGGTGCGTGCACATCTATGGAGAGACATCAGCATTACCCAGTTGCTGAAGGTCATACCATATACTGAATGCCCATCAAGATCAACTACCAGTCCTCGTGTGAGACCTTTGATAAAGTCATGGCTGAGCGTTTGGGCTCCATAGTCACTGGCGGATCCCACGAAATACACCCCTGTACCTAGATAGTTACTCAATACATTCCAAGTTTCAGACGTGTAGCTTTAAGACTGGTGTCTACACGGGGCTCAAACACTCCCGATTCAAGCTGTTATTCTAGATATCTTCGCCACCATCCATCTCACGTATCAGTTGCATCGCCCTGATATGCCCATTCAACGCTGGAGCAAGACAGTGCAAAGGGGTATTTTTATCGAAATCTTAGGCATGTATATCGATACCTATGTCACCAAGCACGTGAATAGTGTTTGAGCGTCATCATGGTAGTCATAATTCTCATCTCAAGTGTGGCAAGCCTACATCCCACCAAGACCGAATCTCCAACCCGAACGCCAACTGTGGATAGCTTGACGTATCAAACCCAAGATCCCCCTTCTCATTTTGCACAAGCTATCGCTCTGGATCAAATACCTCCAGGTCTGGGTTTCCTTTGTCAGTATACATTCTTGACGCTTTGACATCACTCCAGTATTTCGATGGAGCTGATGGCTTGTAGTCTGGTCCTTGACAAACAAGTAGAACAACTGTACCCTTAGGAATGCGATGACCAAACAACCCTGTATCTTTTACTGCATCGTGGGACTGCGGAAGAAAGAACTATCTCAAGCCTCGACATTCTCGAATGTGGGTTAATTTTCTGTTTTGGATTCATCCTCAAAGTTGAGATTTGTATAAGATATCGAGCGAATTCATGAAGTTTATGGAAGTCTAGTATAAAATAAATTCCCTGTCAGCTAATGGCTAGGCATGATTCCTAGTGTGTTGTTGATGCAACTCGTCAGACTAGCTCACGACTGGGGTGCGCTGAAGAGGGGGGCGGAGAAATGTCTTTGGAGGGGTCGATGCTGTGGTTGGTCCATGATTATATGACAGGATTGTCTCCATGATCTTGCATCCGATATATTTCGGCAGATGGGATGTGGCATAGCGTTGGGGAAGATATGAAATGGCCACGCCTAGGAAGTGACATGGCCTTGGCTGGAATGACACACATAGACACTAGTAGCATACGAGGTAGCATTGGGAATATAGTGCACGGCAGCCTTGCATCTTATTGTCAGAACTAGCGCAGACACCGGATGTGGCGCTTTTCCTGTAATTCTCGTGTGTAGATCATCAGGAAATGTGAGGAACTGGTTGCTAGATGGTTTCTATTTCACCATTGTGTTGGGTGGCCATGGCCGTATATATCATCCTTGAGTATATAAAGACAAGAATTTCGGACTTCCAAGGGCGTCCTCTGATCTTTTAACGATGCTGTACTTAAATTTATAACCAACAGTAAATCCCTATAGCTCGAAGACAACATCAGAAGAATGCCTCCCCCCAGAGTATGGGGAATTCCAATGAAGAACTGGGGACTTAGAAAAGAGTCTTCTTGCGCCATTGAGGAAAAATTATCGGGCATCAAATAATGATCCCCTGCTTCCAAAGACGGCCATTCTTCCTGTTCGCCATACCTTTCTATCGGAGGCCGGAACTGGGTTGGCCCCAAAGAACCAGAAATAGACAATGTGGGAGCGAGCGGACTAGATGACTGCTTGGGCTGCACACATCTGGCAAAAAGCAGAGTAGCCACACGGGCTCCAGAGGCAGCGATGTCACTTAGGTCGGCTAACATTTGAAGACGTTGAACAGCCTGCTCTACCGCCTGCATTGCTATTCGGTATGTCATTCTGACCTTGATTCCCATAAGGTCTGTGTGATAATCGTCTTGATCAAATAGGAAATCTGCATTGGAACACAGATTAAGCAGAAGAATGGCAGGCTCAAAAGAGTTAAAGATAATTGTAGAAAAGCGCGTATAGGAACCCCCAAACATTGTATGAAGGGTTGCAACAGCTTCGAGCACTTTCAGTGCTGCCATACCAAGCCTCTGTTTCTGCGACCGGAGAAGAACCTTTTTGTAGGGGGCTAACCTTGCGACTTGGTTTGGCTTGAGCAGCAGGAGAGGTCGGAAGTTCCAACAAATTGAGTCGAAGATCGCGATATATAGAAGTTGTCTTTGCATGGGTAACTTTGGAATAGCCTTATCCAAAGTGGTGTCTGGGTGCGTTATAGCGAAGGCCGGGTGTAAGTTGACTAGATACTCAGAGTTTAGCTTCTCATACCTCCGCTCACTCTCGGTCAGGTTAAACTCGGAGGTACGCTGTAACCCTAGCCCTCGCCAAAACAAGCCAAGCTGAACTTGCAGGAGACGTTCGGTGAAGATATCTGGCGCTCTGGTAGCTGTTTCTGTTGGTATATTGCCAATGTCTGGCATCACGCGGAGCCGGGGTAGTGTTTGCTCGACCAAGTGATCGGGTATGAAGGGGGTCCGATCTAGCTGTCTGGACAAATGACTGTCATCCAGATTCGTCAGTAGAATTTTTAGTATCAGGTCGATACCAATCGTACCTGTCCAAAACGTAAAGGCTGCAGAATGTCCTCCGCTGAATATCTCTTTCTAACTCCTGGGCACTATCTCTGGCAAACTGAGATCCCACAAAACCAATAGTATCAGTGTGGATGCCAGCCTTTTGAGCAGCTCGACATGCAGAACCTATGCCCTCCCATAATTGACTAGTCCTCCCTTCACATGAGACTTTCAATGCAGCAAAAATGATTTGTTGAACACGGACCAAAGTGCCTTTCCAGCCAAGAATCTCACACGCTGTCGCAAGATTTTTTCCAATACTACTGCAGGTGTCACGAATATCGGCTAGTGACCGACCAAGAATTTGATCAACAGTATGAGACCGGGACGGTAGAAATTGTGTCGCATAAGAACAAATGCGAGCAATTAGAGCTGCAAACTCGACGTCGGCAATGTCCGTTATTTTATCCTTTGCCCACCACAGCTGATAATCCATCAAGAAGCTGGGGGCGTGGATGACTTGCTTTATCCTGAGCCCGTGATAGAGGTTAGAACAAGAGAGCTAAGATATCTTGCTAAGCAAAACCGATTGATAGGCTTACCAATTCAATTCACGGACAAAAGATTGTACAAGAAAGTCCATGATTTGGCGGTCAGGCATGGGATCAAGCTCACAGTGAACGGTGTCCCAAGTAGAGGGCGAGGCATTCTTTAGCTCTGTATCAGTTTGATCAGGTAATTCTAGCTGTGAGTTTGGATAAGTCTAAATAATACCACAAGGAAACCAATACTAAGAGACTCACCCGTCGGAGCAGAGCCAATGTGTTGGAATTGCTATCCTCAAAATAACCAAATGATCGAGCAAGTGCCGAATGCTCTCTAGACCAGTGAGCTTCGGAGTCATCCACGGCTGTTTCCCGCATGGGCCGTGCACTCTCTACCGGTCGAAATGGTTGGGTCTCCGGCTGATCTGCAAGGACTGACGGACAGGAGATATTCACATGTGGAGAATCGTAGACACACTCTTCAGGTCGACGACGGCGGGTACAATTGTTGCATGGATATTGGCGGTCACACTACAAACAATTCAAAATTAGTGTTACATCACCATCGAGGCCGATCGCACTCGCTTTCTGTTTACGCATATAGCAAGAATAACACGTTCTGACACGACGTTTTTGGCCTTGCATGACGACTCGAAATGAGCGTGGGGCGTATCTCGCTGGCACTGGGTTTGTCTGGGGCTTGGGAGCGACCCTGGGCCCTGTGGTTGGTGGTGGGTTTTCGGATTCATCTGCCACTTGGCGATGGGGATTCTATATCAATCTTATTATCGGTGCTATCACGGCTCCTGTCTACCTGTTCTATCTTCCAGCCATCCGTCCGGCTCCTGGAAGACCACTCAAAGATCGACTTCTTAGTTTGGATTATGTAGGATTTGTGCTCAGTACAGCGATGTGGGTGACTTTTGCGATGGGCTTCATCTTTGCCGGTGGTATCTGGAAGTGGAATGATGGTCGCACTATTGCAATGCTTGTGGTATGGGGAGTTATGCTTTCCCTTTACGCACTACAGCAGACCTTCTGCATCTTTACCACTCCCGAGCATAGATCATTCCCCGGACATCTGCTCAAACCTCGAACCCAAATCTTGTTCTACATCACCACCACCTGCGCCAATACCTGCATGTTCTTTACCACATTCTACACACCGATATACTTCCAGTTCACTCGGAACGACTCATCCCTCATGGCCGCAGTCCGACTTCTCCCTTACCTCTTGTTCACCATCGCGTTCAACCTTGCCTCCGGTTTGGCCCTTCCCAAAATAAGGTACTACATGCCTATGTGTCTGGTATCCGGTATCTTCATGACTATAGCTGGTATCTGTCTTGTCATTGCCAGCCAAGCGTTCCAATCAAACGCCATCAGCAACTTGAATCATGTTTTAGCAGGCCAGGGATTCAGTCAATCAGAAATCCGAAGTGTTGTTGCTGGATCACAGAGCACGCTGTTTGAGCAGCTCAGCAGTGACTTATGGACTGCAGCTATTGAAGCAATCACCTCTGCGATGGCAAGGGCCTTTAGCATTCCACTTGTAGCTGGTGCATTATGTCTTGTTTGCTCCATGTTGATGAGTCGGGAGAGACTGTTTGGGTGAATGGTGGCCCAAAGTGGCCAAATTCAAACAGAACAAGATTGTATGGCTGTCACGATTGTCCAATACTATATAGTGTTGGGATCGAATAAATTCCTGACTTGCTTCGAAAGGAGATGACAATCCTTTCAAAAATATGTTCACCCCACTCTCTCTTTTGTTTCTCTTCTTCAACCACTATCACTCTACACCACCTGTTTTTTGTCGGTACAAGCTTTAATTTCATCTATTTTCTTATGATTTATAGCCGTTAGAGATGGGTACGACCCGTATCTTGTTTCTTTTTCCCGGCCCTTTTAGGCGGGTTCCTAGATAGCTAAAAACTTATATGGATGCTATTTGATACCTGCTGCCAAAACGGGTGATAGGACCAGATAGTTAACTCGAACGTGGGACCAAATTATGCCCAAGCAAGGGCAACTCTTAATAGAGCAGAATAGATTTCTGTAAACACGGCCGATGCAAGTGTTAGTGCAGTGCCAAGCTAGCGAGATAATCCACTCCGTCTTATAGAAGAACAGTTATAAGCATCATGAGACTTGTAGACTTGTTCTGACGATATCAAGGCAACCATAAATAAGTTATGCAAGATGCATCAACCCCATTTCGCGTTATTTTGTTCCATCCTTCCGCATCTGGAAGGATGATAGAATAAATCAAAGTTATACACCTGTATACTAGAGAATTGTGGACGATGTTCCTTAGGGCTCTCCTGCGTGTGGATCGACCCCAAAAGTGACTAAGCTGCCTTGGGCGCCCGGCGCGGGCGCGGGGAGATTAAAAAAAAATGCGATAACATTCCCCACAGTATCGAACGTCCCTCAATTCACGAATTGATGACTTGTTTTATCCTTTTCATGATACCTGTCCTACCATGACGATCCACAATCCTCTTCCACTCCCCGAGGAGTGGAAGGATCCCGACGAATATGTTCAAGCCCTTCTTTCCTTCGCAACCGATTCCGTGATGTTCATGAACCTTTGCGGTGGCGTGCATATCCTCGATTTCTTGACGCGCGATCCCGATCTGTACGAGTCACTACTGCCGCAAGACTGGCGATCATTCTTTGAGCATCACGATATCCACGGCATCTTGCAACTGCTACTAAGAGAGGACATTGGCCCGCTGTGCGAACCCGCCGAAACAAACGCAGGCCCCGAGAATGGCAGGACCTGGAATGGAGGCGCATTCCCGCCAGCAAGCCTCCTCGAGTACATTCGTGACATTCGACGATTTAGCTTCCGCCGCGAGTTCACCACACCTGAGAACAGCCAACCTCTCCCCAGTCATATTGCTATGGGCATGAACAAGAAGAAGAAGCATGAGGTGGAGCAATTCTCTCGCTATGTCGCGTCCTTGTCGGATACCGTCAACGAGCGTCGCGGCGAGCCCTTATCTCACATTGTCGATTTTGGGTCAGGACAAAATTACCTAGGGCGCATGCTGGCAAGCTCGCCTTATCATAAACATATCATTGCCATTGAGCGAAAACACCAATACATCAGTGGTGCCAGCCGTATGGATGTTCATGCTCGACTTGCTAAGGAGGAAAAGAAAAAGACAATGCATAATGCAAAGCTAAACAAATCGAAGAGGCAATGCATCGACTGTACCGACACCCCAGAACTAGCTCCAGAGCTAGCCACTTCGGAAAAGCCCAAAGTTCCTGACTTGGGTTTGGGAGTACAACCGGAGGTGAGCGATGCAGTGCCAGAAGACTCTGCTAGGCAGGATGAAGATGTCACGACCTTTAACATGTTGGGCGACATGACCCTAGAAGCCGATGATGTGCTCGGCTCGATGTACGGAAAACCACATGTACCACACGTACCAAAGCCACGGCCTGAGGTCGATACCAGAGGCACTGTTAGCTACATCGAGCATAATATCCAAGATGGTTACCTAGAACCAATCATCGAGCACGTCGTCGACCCAAAGACATCAGTCGAGACCCGGACCAGCACAGAAGAAGTCATAATCCAACCCGAAGACAAGAAACCAAGTGACGCCCGGGTGATGGTAGTTTCTCTTCATTCATGCGGAAACCTTGTCCACCACGGACTTCGCTCACTAGTGCTCAACCCTTCTGTTGTAGCAATCGCCATGATCGGCTGCTGCTACAACATGGTGACAGAACGACTAGGACCAGCAACATACAAGATCCCCATCCTGCGATCCGCCCATCCCCGCCTCAGAAAGACTGGATCGTCATGGGATCCGCACGGATTTCCGATGTCGAAGCTCTATGAAAACTATGAAGCAAAGACCACAACAGGCTTCAAGCTGAATATCACAGCCCGCTCAATGGCCCTACAGGCACCCCACAATTGGGGCCGCGCCGACAGCGAAGATTTCTTCACGCGCCATTTCTACCGTGCGTTGCTGCAGCGTGTTCTTCTAGATCGCGACATCATCCCTAAACCCGACGTCCCTGACGATCTGTACAAAGATCACACAGACAACCCCAATGCCGGGGGCATAGCGCTGATCGTGGGATCCCTGCGCAAGTCTGCCTTCCTGTCCTTCTCCGCGTATGTGCGTGCTGCGACGGTCAAATTGAGCCAGGATCCCATCCGGGGCGAGTTGGTTAAGCAGCGCGTGTGTACCATGTCTGATGAGGAGTTGCAGGGCTATGAGGCTGAGTACTTGCATACGCGCAAGAATCTCAGTATTGTGTGGAGTCTGATGGCGTTCAGTTCTCAGGTTGTTGAAGCTGCTATTGTGGTTGATCGCTGGCAGTTCTTGCGCGAGCATGATTCCGTTAAGGAGTGCTGGGTTGAGCCGGTGTTTGAGTACGGTCAAAGTCCTCGCAATCTGGCTATTATTGGGATCAAGAAATGATTTCTGTTATAGTTCGGGTTGTCGGTCGCATTTAGAAACGGCTGGGAGTTTGTGCTTTGGAGCTTAGGGCATTATGTGGGTTCTTCGGTGTCTTAGTACATATCTGGGGGCTTACAGTTGAACAACATTGCATAGAATATATCTCTTGGGCTCTGGAGAGGCTTAGCCCAACAACGCGAATGGAAATTAGGCCGCGACATATCTTGACCAGGCTCTGGGGCCCATTTCGAGCTGCACATTGCGATCCAAACCCGCATCAGGCACACACAACTGCTTTATCACTCGCCCTCTCACAGCTTCAATTATGCCTATACGTACTTGTCATCAGATGGGGCGGTAGCTGTTAGGCCTGACACAGTCCACCAAGAAATTCCTTGTAGAATACCGGCAGTGGTTTGCCCTTGGGGAATTCGGGGAACAATTCCCCGAATTTCAGATACCCAAGGTGGTTTGCGTATTCCGGAGTCATCGTCAAAGCGAATCTCACATTGCCATCTCCGACAATACCATGGTCTGGCTGGATTCATGCCCCGAGTTAATCTGACGTTATCTGATCCATGTCTGTTGAGCTTCTTTGGCCCTAAGACCACAACGACCAAAACTTGCGCAATTTGCCGCACAAGGATCTGTCTAGGTGCACAGACATGCCGTAGTTATTTTCATCGGTAAAATTCAGATTCTTTGGCCTCCCTACTGTATCGAGGTATACAGGGCTCGGTGATCCCCGGTTTATGTGGGTACTTGGGCGCAAATGTGCTCACTTTGTCTTTAGCTCTGGAGGTGCTTTCAATAATCATATCATCGGGATCTAGGTGCTATTTAAATAAAACAAGTATTAATCCTCCAGTCGGAACTATTATTGAGAGCTCTCACCAGTGACATGGTGACATGACTTCTCCATAGTAGGACACCGTACAGCCCCCAATAATTCTACACTTTGAATACATTCATAATGCGTCACATTTCATAATCCATTCTACTAGCTTGTAGGTTCAAACAACCCGAAGACCGCAAATTACCAGCTAGTACCACAATATGATACAACCCGGATGTTGACATGTGGGAGCTCTCTCACATTAGTCCTTTGACCTAAGGAAACCCCATCCCTTACAATACCAACCTAGATCTCACTGTGGAGCAAAATTCAGCCCCAGTGTGAGAAGCTGAGTACTCCGTTACCCGACATTGGTCTCGGTTGCATGTGGAGGCTGTGTTGAGAAGAAATGAGCACATATTTTGAAGACAGCGGTTAAGGCGCGATCGAACTAATCTCGAATTACAGCATAACCAACGTGCACTAGAATAGCATATGATCACTGCTCGGTGGTTCGGTGCCATATCCTTATTCACTTTGCTATACGCAAAATTGGAACCAACTCCGCCACAATTAGAAGGGACTGTAGATACTTTTGCGGCAATGAAGCGTCGATATAGCTGAATAATGTTCCCTGAGATTATTTTATAGTTTCTTTCGATTGTATTGAGGTAACATTTGCCCGAGCCTTTAGCGCCTTGCTTTCTCGAACAGAAAGACCTGTGATAGTGGGATCGTGGCTGCAATATCCCTCACATAGCGCTGGGCGTACAATATATGTATGACCCCTGAAGTTAATACTAAGCCTTGAAAAGAGCTCTGTATTAGCCCCTGCACTTCTCCAATTTATCAACACGGAGTGGTTGTTTGACTCTTGTCTTCTTTCCCGCACCTTCCAAAGGGATCACCTTTCCCTCACTCATCGTATATTGAAAAAGAATATCATCCAACTTGTGGCTGTCACCTTCGTGACCATGACAATACTCAATTTTGGCTGTGGTCCTAAGGGGCCAGCCAACATCAGGACAACAACCAGGGAAACCCCGGCGAATGGGGATGCCCGGAGCCTAGAAGAAAGGAATGAGAGGGAATTGTTTGAGCACCCCGATGAGGTTACCCAGGAAGCACAAGTCGGAGTCCAAAAAGCTGAAGCTACGGCTTTGGTGTGGTCCAAAACCGCCTTGTATGCCACATATGCCTGGTAAGTCTATTCAAAGGCTTGAGCGCTCCCAACAAATAGACCAATACAATCTCCCCACCCGTATTGTTTGTCAAAGCTAGATGAGACAATGACTGATCTGAGACTCATTGCTAGGATCTGGTTTTGCTTCTTCACTCTGTCTATGCAATCGTCTATTAGCAGCAACGTGGTCTACTACGCATACGCAAACTTCGCTTCAGCTCCTCAAATATCCCAGGCATTCATTGTCTCGACAATCGTTGGTGGAGTTCTTCAACTTCCCATCGCAAAGACTCTGAATATCTGGGGCCGCGCTGAAGGCTTCCTGGCTTTATTGCTAGTATTCATCCTAGGACTCATCGTGATAGCCTCATGCAATGGTCCCAATGGGTTTGCAGCTGGTTACACTCTGTACTGGATCGGTTATACTGCCCTGAATTTCATCCTGACAGTCTTCGTTGCCGACGCGTCCGGACTGCGAAACCGAGCTTTCGTCTACGCATTTATCGGTACGCCAACGATCTGTACGGCTTTTGTGGGGCCTCTTGTTGCTCAGGCATTCCTGGTCCATTCTACTTGGCGTTGGGCTTACGGCTGCTTCGCTATAATCACCTTTCTCCTCTTTGTGCCGCTTGCTCTCGTGTTCAAGTTCTACCAGCGCAAAGCCGAGAAGTTGAATCTTTTTATTCGGGTCCCGAGTGGCCGAACTACAGCGCAGTCATTTGTTTATTACTTCCACGAGTTTGATGTTGTTGGCGCTTTCATCCTTATGGCGGCCTTCATCCTATTCCTTCTACCGTTCAGCCTTGAGACTTATGGCCTTAGCGGATACTCCTCGGCGACTTTTATCGCCATGGTTGTCATTGGAATCTTGCTATTCCCAGTCTTTGCTATTTGGGAGCGGTTCTTTGCTAGAACTCCTTTCATCAAATGGGAGTTATTCAAAAAGCGCACAGTTCTCGGAGCGTGCATCTTGTCAGCTGTGATTTTCTTCAACTACAACACGTGGGACCAGTATTTTTACTATTATGTGCAAGTCGTCTACAACCTTGACACCTCGAAGACGGGATACATGACACAGATATACGGCGTTGGATCGACCATCTGGGCAGTTCTGTTCGGTATCTGGATCCGCAAGACTAAGTATTTCAAGAATGTCTGTCTTTGCTTCGGTGCACCACTCATGCTACTTGGCGCGGGTCTCATGATTCACTTCCGAGGCTCCCAAAGTAACATCGGATACCTGGTTATGTGTCAAATTTTCATCGCATTTGGCGGTGGTACTCTTGTCATCGGCGATGAGATGGCTGTCATGGCTGCCGCTGATCGTGATGGCGTCCCATTGATGATTGCTATGATAAGTCTATCCTCTAGTTTCGGAGGAGCTATTGGCTACGCTGTTGCAGTCGCCATTTATTCCAATACATTCCCCCAGGCCCTACTCAGTGCGCTTCCCGATTCAGCCAAGGCTGACTATGCAACTATTTACGCCGGTGGCTCGGCAGCTCAGCTCGTCTATCCCCCTGGTAGTGAGACAAGGAATGCGATCAACCACGCGTGGGCATACAGTCAGAAGTACGAGTGTATCACGGCAGCTGTTCTTCTCGTTCTTGCTTTCCCAGCAATTGCCATGTGGAACAATTACAATGTCGACAAAAAGCAAGTGAAAGGCACTGTTATTTAATTCTTAAAGTGTGTTTCGACAATGTGACGAGTACGGATCTGAGATGGAGAGGCTACATAGTAGTGTGTATGTATTTTATGACAACATGACCACTGAACACAATACAGATATATTTTCCATATTAATTCAAGATATATTACCTGTTGCTCACCTTGATTCCCCGAAATTTCCCCGCTTATATATACGAATGTGCTCAATTCCACTCACATTGTCTCAATCCCAGTATAGTACTTCGTCGCTCTTATTATTATTGGATTAAACGTGCGTTTTGCACCAGTGGCGCCGAAGGGCACATGCAATAGGCTGAGGAATTTGTCGAGAAAAAGGAAACTCAGGAAATCTTCCAAGGTCCTCATTGCCAGTGATAGACACTGTGGAATAGCGAGAAAAGCAATAACGACGATCAATGATTTGAATAAATTGATTTAGCATTGACGGAATACCCCATTTGTATTATATGTCTTAAGACAAGGACGAGTTGGTGAACAGGCACAACAAAACGGCCACCTAGTCAGTTGTGGCTGCCCGAACCAAGTGAATTTCTGATTAGTTCAATTCTGATTTTAATGTCTCTAATCTTAGCTTATGTACTCTGGGCTCGCTGCCTTCACGGCCATCAACCTTTATATTCCTCTATCATGACCCGAAAAACAGATCCAGTTCTTAGCTAACATATTACGCAGAATAACATATGGGATTTGCTCCATGTTATCGGGAATATCTATCAAGACTTTTTTACAAATGCGTTTAGGAATCCACTGCTGAACTATGTTCACCCGATCACGAAAGAATGAAGCTGATCATGGCACCAACTCAAAAGTTTCGTTCGATCGACTCATGGCAACGACTTCATGAAGAATGGATTGTTGTATCATCATCCAGAACGCCTTTGCTCTTCTTTACACTCTTCCACTCGAGAAAGCAAGCTGCCACAAATGCTGCGACCATCAAGGCCAGACTGACACGATAGGTATCCCGCAATCCGTTCATATAAGCTCGAATCACATCATCAAGCCGATCAAGCTGGTCTAAGGTAATCAACACATGCCTCATCTCAGTAGCCCCTGCGCTTATGATCGCACTTGGATCAACACCAGGCGCGTATGCACGAATGCCTTCTATCAGACCATTCTGGAAAACCGACTGACCGACTGCAATGAAGATGGCTCCACCCAGTGTCTGGAAGAACGTGATGGCGGCTGTACCCACAGGAATGTCCTCTGGCTTCAATACCGTCTGCACGGCTGTCATCGGGATTTGAAGACCAGCACCGATGCCCGCACCGACAACAATCTGGTAACCGATCCATTTCCCTGTCGAAATATCAACGTCGTATAGGGTCATGAGACCTGTACCAATAGCAGCAATGGCGGTACTGGAAATCAGAAATGGCGTGTAATAGCCGACTGTAGTGACCAGAGCACCTACCAAAATAGATGAAACCACAGTGGCAAGCATGAATGGTAGAACCTGAAGTCCTGCAGTCATTGCGGAAGATCCTTTGACGCTCTGAAAGTAGATGGGAACATAGTAGACCAGGAGGAAGAAGCCACCACTGAAGAAGAATGCAAACAAGCCGGCGGACCAAATGGTGCGCTGCTTGAGGATTGAAGGTGGCAAGGTTGCCCTTCCGGCATTCTGGCCTGTCTGGTTTTCCTCGTCTTGTTTGCTCATGTAGATTTGGGATGCGACAAAAAGGATAGCCAACAGACCAAACCCCACAAACAGTCCAATAATTTGAGAGCTTCTCCAGCTATAGGTATTTCCACCCCATTGCAAGGCAAGAATCAAACATACGATAGCTGGTATGAGCAGACTTGCACCTATCAAGTCAAGCTCCTTGATAAGTTGCAAGACAGGGAGCCCCGCTACCTTGGTGTTGCTTGGTAGGCGGAGGACTAGGAGGACTACTGCGATGGAAACTCCACCAACAGGAAGATTGATGTAGAAACACCATCTCCAAGACGGACCATCAGTGAATGCTCCTCCAAGGAGTGGGCCTACAATAGAAGCGATTCCCCAGACCATGCCGTATACACCAAAAACGATTGGCCTCTTTTCCAGGGGAACTGTCATGGAGATGATTACCAGAGCGCCGGAGAAGATGCCTGCAACGCCAATTCCTGCAATTGCACGACCGACTATGAGGACTGTGCTGGAAGGTGCCACACCACAAATCAGCGATCCAACCTCAAAGATGCTAACCGCAGCCAAGAAGGACCATTTCACCTAAAGAGCGTCAGAAAGATTTGTGAATGTGAGCTTTAGGAGAATGTTGCGGCAAAAGACTTACATTGAGTATCTTATAGATCCGGCCGTATGATGGCTGTAGCGCTGTCGACGTCAAGAAGTAGGCACTTCCATACCAAGCAATATCGGGGATGCTCTTGAACTGGTCTGTAATCTTTGGAATGGCTACTCCGATGATGGTTTGATCAAGAGCTACCAAAAAGGCTGCCAGGTAGATCGCCAAAATAATTACCATCACTCGGCTTAGTGGAGGGTATTCGGGCTTTTGATTGGAGTCTGAATCTTCGACGCTGGCCTCATCGTAGCTCAACTGCTGAGCTGTCTTCTCGCGACCAGACTCGAGGTCTTGGGCAGTGAGAGCTTCACTCATAACGATATGAGGGTAGCAATCGTAAGAGGTCTATGTACATATGTAGTCAACACACAGGTTATATTGTCGATTTTGCCTTGGGGAGTAGGACAGCGAGCTGGAAGGAGCGGACGAAGAGACGGAGCCTGTCTTCGATTGCATTTACTTGACACCTAAGGGTTTCCTCAAAAAATCGCTCAAAGGTCGATCGGGCTTAAACTCCGATATGTCCTATGACTGATGTGCCCCTTTCACATGAAAAGGTCCAAGAGAAGAATAAAATATTATAATTACCTCAAATTTGCGCTCGTGGGTGGGAGGCTAGAGCTTTGTCACTTCTAGACCACTCATCACTCATTTCAGTCTCAGCTCGATCCAAAGGATTGTTCACGGGCCTTTTTTTTTTACAAGGAACTGATCATGCCAAGGTGGTGATCTTCTAGGATTTGCTCGTAACCAACTCACTCATCTTAGTCTCAGCTCGATCCAAAGGATTGCGTACGGGCTTTTTGCTTTTTTTTTACAAGGAACTACTCGTACCAAGGTGGTGATCTTCTAGGATTTGCTCGTAACCAACTCACTCACCTTAAGTCTCAGCTCGATCCAAAGGATTGCTGACGGGCTTTTTTTTTACAAGGAACTGCACATGCCAAGGTGGGTATCTTCTGGAATTTGCTCGTAATCAACTCACTCAACTTATACTTCGTATATTGAGCGCGGAAAACACGGTCCACATGTGGGGTAGGTACCCGCAATAATCATTTATATATCTGTCTGTATCCACCTAACTAACTTCACCTTTAATATGACTAATTCAACTCCACACACCCACACTAGATACGAGCTAGGTCGATGTAACTTCTTAATTTTTCCCACCCAGTTGAAGTGATGAGTCTCAAGTTAGTTTACTATTTCAGCGCTAAGTGGATGTTCCCGGTGAAACTAGATCGCATTCGATTTAGCCTCGCCAGAGATCGACACTATCAACCACTCACAGACTCAGAAGCTCATTAACAAATCTTAACACGTCATATCGAACACTTGAAAATGTGATTTTCGGATGGAATACAACTATTCCTCGGTGAGGTTCCTGTTGGCCGAACCGAGTCCTAGCTGTAGATGTGGAGTCCGAACTATGTCGCACTCGGATCACAATAAATGATATTGCCTTCCACCTACCAAGGAAATGATTGTTGCTGTCGTTTATCGTCACTTGAGTTCACTCGTACGTCTCTGGTGCATTTCCCCATATTTCGTGCCTTTTTCGGTAATCTAGCGGAGATATAGTCCCGAAGTGACCTTGCTATATTGAAATCAATATGCCGTCGCTGGACACTCGCCCTCCTGAATCCAACATGATGCCAATCTCTTCAACTGTTAAATCAGATAACAGTCCTTTTGCCAGCTCCCTGCAGTCTACTAGTCACGTCAAAGAGATCTCGCGGCTCATCTTGGATATCTTTCTGGAGTATGCTCTCAACAAGTTCAATTATTCAGAAGATCGCCTTGAGGGCTATGGAGATGGCTTTCTTTCTGTCATTGGCCGATTTGTCTCTGAAGGTGCGCGTGTGCAAGCTTGTCTACCTGCTTTCCCTTTCAAGTCCGCGAACAAAGTGTACAAGGTGCTCGGCAGCTTGCCAGACAAAGCAGAGGAGCTCGCTCTAGAGCGATTAAATACCCTGTGCAAGCGTGTTCAGGATATCTACCCTCCGGGTGCTGATATTGTCATTATCTCGGATGGCATTACCTATAATGGTACGTGGGCGAATTCACCAATAGTGCGACCCGATTTGAATGGTCACTAACGTGTTTGTGGTCCGTGATTCCAGACTTGTTGTGTATCCCCGACCAAGAAACCTGGAAGTATGGCGAAGCCTTACGCGAGATGGCTGTCAAGAACGGTTTCGACAATATTTCGTTCTCAAGGATTCGAGACCTTCTTGAGTTTCCTCTGCCGGAGAAAATGAGTGAGATTATCTATGTGGCCAACTGTACCACCTTCCGTCGCTTGCTTTTGAATAAATATGGCAATCCTAACCTCAACATTGACCATGAAATTGCCACCAATCCAGATATCAAGTTGACATATCTGGGATATAAGCGATTTTTGGAGTCTGATCTTCAGTACATTTTTCCTCGGGGGAAGAATCGCTCAGCCCACAGTTACAAACGAGATTGCAAGTATGTGGCCAAGCAGATGCTGACAAGAGGATATGTAAGAAGAGAATATTCCCCATAGACACACTAGTTTGTTATACTGATCTCGGGTGATAGGCGTTTACAGGAGCGATCAAGGACGCCTTCCCCAACCATCTGCGACTTTCAATCCACGAATCAATTTGCGGTACCAAGCTACCCATCAGCTTGTTAAACACCAAGACAGGCTTTACTACTCCATGGCACTGCTGTGTTGCTGAATTAGCAGATGGAGTGTGGGTTAGTGCGCCTATGGGCGAGTTCAGCAAAGATACCCGCTTGGAACTTGTCCATGTCAAAGGAAAACCCAGTCACTATCAAGAAAAGCTGCACCATGGCGACCATATCGCTATCAACGAGGCGACAGCGAGCTACCTTCAGTCGGCCAAGTCCATCGATGTCAATGCGTATGTCAACGGTACATTGAATAATGGATCGCCATCTTCATCATCCTCTAGCCAGGTTTCCGTCTCTTCGTCTGAGGGAAAATCACCAGGAAGCAGGTCCACCACACCGGATATGCAATCAGTGCAAAAGATCTCGCCTGCGCAATCTGGTCTACGTATCACGTTCAATGAGGCGTCTGACCTTGCACCACTACAGCCAGAGACAAAGCCCACAGTATCAACGCCATACGGTAGGAGGCTGATCCCTCAGATAATGGATAGTCTTGCTTCTGTCGACTCTGAGCGGACCATCTTCTCTCTTGCATCACTATCGGACGGGCTACTCAAACTCAACCCTGTCTCCGCTCGACAGTTTACTAGAGCAGTTGACAAGACTGCTTGGTGGCTTCGTGATCAAGTTGGCATCCCCGACTCAATTCAACCTGTGGCTTATATTGGACCGCGTACGTTTAGCCGATATGTAAAGTCTCGAATTCGGTTCACTAACTCGACCGGTTGATTTAGACGATCTCCGACATATTCTGCTGACATATGCATGCGTCAAGGCAGGCTACGCGGTATGTTCCATAACGACTACGATGTATTATCTAAAATCGCCACCTCTAACTTCTTACTCTTCCTGGTAGGCTTTGTTCTTGTCGCCCAAAAACAACACGGACGGAGTTCTCGCAGTTCTCACGGCAACAAACTGCAATATCTGGGTCAACGCGGTCGACGCTTCTCCGATCCCTTTAGTCAAAGACGTTCTTCAGAACCGACCTATGACGTCTTTGCAACTTCCTCTGCTCCACGAGCTACTTGATAACGAGTCTACCGAAGCCTTCCCGTATACCAAAACTTTTGAAGAGGCCAAAAATGATCCATTCTGCTTCTTGCATACATCTGGAAGCACTGGACTACCTAAGCCCATTCCCTGGTCCCACGGGCTGATTGGCACCATGGATGCAGTAAGACTGCTCCCACCCGTGGGTGAAAATGCCGATTTGGTTCCTTGGACTTCAGGCTGGGATGAGGGGGACAAGATATACTCATCATTTCCAATGAGCCACGTGAGTAATCTCATCCTTTCGCTCTATCTTTCGGGGTTCGATATGGCGTGGAAGATTCCTTCGCTGACTTGAAATACCAAAAGGGTGCTGGAATTATCATGGATATTTTGATGCCTGCACTGTTCAATCTCCATTGTGTCCTGGGGCCAGTTGGTGTTTTGCCAAACCTTAATCTTGTGGAAATATTAGCCGTGAAAGCTAAGATTGCCATATGGAGTATGGTCCCATCCCTTGTTGATGAACTGGGTGAAACCCCCGAAGTTTTAGCAAAACTTCAGTCGAGCAAATTCATCTGTGCATCTGGAGGTCCCGTTAGTCCTGTCAGTGCTGGCAAGGTGAATGAGGTTGTCAGGGTGCTCAACTTGACTGGTACGACAGAAGGTCTCTTTATTGGGAATCTGAAGACAGAGCGAGAAGACTGGTTCTGGTTCTGCTTCCATCCATACTCTGGCTTCCAGTTCAAAGAGCTCGAAGCGGATACCTATGAGCACTGGGTGCATCGCAATCAACATTGGCCTCTCTTCCAGGGTATCTTCCACACGTTTCCAGATAAAGATTCCATCAACTTCAAGGACCTATACATGAAGCACCCTACCAAGCCCAACCTGTGGGCCTTCAAGGGAAGAAGTGATGATCTTGTGGTTTTGTCGAATGGGTACAAGATATCGCCGCTTGAGACGGAGGCATTTATCACCACACACCCTGCCATTACTGGATGCCTTATTTTTGGAACTGGAAAGCCTCAAGCGGCCCTACTCATCGAACTGAAGGACCCGTCGAATAAAACGGCTGATCTCATTGACAGTATTTGGCAAACGATCCAGACGGCCAATGCCATGTCGAGACACAAGAACCAGTTACTGAGAGATTTCGTCACTTTCGCACAACCCGACATGCCCTTCCTACGGACAGACAAGGGAACAGTCAAACGATCAGCCACATTGGCGTTGTATTCCGACTACATCGAGCGTTTCTACAGTTCACGCAGTGATGAAATCGATAGCGCTATTAGTCTGGATCTGAGCTCTATCAGTTCGATCGAGGACTCCATCCGCACGATCGTCGGCCCTTTACTTTCCGAACCCCAGGACACCCCGCCTAATGCGGATTTGTTTGTATTTGGGCTTGACTCTCTAGGCGTCTTTGCAGCTGTCAAAGCACTTCGAGTAGCTTCGGGTTTGGGTGATAAAATCGCTCCTCGACACGTTTACGCTAATCCAACTATTGCGAGCCTTGCCACCACGGTCTCCAACCTGATGGATGAAGCACAGAGTGTTAAAGATGATATTCCTCTGGATCAAATCCGGGATGATACCTCTGAGTTAAATGATATGATCGCCCAGCACAGGGCGCGGCAATCATTCCGCTTGAACGCCTTCGACTATGTCAACCCTAACCACGGGATGGGAATTGTACTTTACTTCTCTATCCATGAGGAAACATCATTTGAGCAAGTCTTTGCCAATCTTCAGGAAGGACTCAATCGCACATTCGATATGATACCAGCTCTCAGTGGCAAGATGATGCACTGCTCCGAGCAAGAAATTGGCTACAGCAAAGGAGACCTCTGCGTGACAATTCCGCCACTGTCCATGGCGGCTTCTGCACGAGACCGCCTCCTGTACAAGGATCTCTCAGAAGTTCTTCCATCCTTTGAGAAGTTACGGGAAGCGGGGTTCCCACCGTCTGCGTTCAAGGACGGCCTCGTCCTGCGAGACGATCCCTTCCCCAAATTCCCAGCAGACATTTTCTCAGGTCAAGTAAACTTCGTTTCTGGTGGCTGCGTAGTTGCAGTTGATCTGAACCACTGCTGCCTCGACGGTGTCGGAGCCATGGTCATCCTCAAGGCCTGGGCGGAAAACTGCAGATATTTACAAGGTGATCACACGGCAACTTGCAACTGGTATAACCCTGAGAGCTTCAATCACGCCTTGCCAGAGATTATTCACGAGCAAGAAGGATGGGCTCGACCAGTCGAAGAGATTGATCCTGGCACATGGGGTTTCTTGCCCTTCTTCCCACCTGACAACAACAAAAGCAAAGAAACCCTCGTTGATCTCAAGGACCATGCATTACCTCCTGCGCCTGATTTCAAGTTGCATGATGTTTGGCCACTTCCCCGGGCTGAGCGGTGTCTTAAAACGACCCTCTTCCTGATTAAGCCGGACAAGCTTGAGAAGATGAGGCAACATGTCATTTCTGACCCCGAAGCGAAGGGGGTAATCAAATCGATCAGTGACATTGTGCAAGCCTTCCTGTGGCGAGCTGCTATTAGAGTACGATACAGGGTAGCCAAGGAGATCCGTAAGCAGACGTTCAGGCCAGACGAGGTGTCTATTCTTGAGCTACCCACGGATGGCCGTCCATACTTCTCTTCACTATTGCCCTCGACATATATGGGCAGTTTACTTATTCTCAATCGATCAACTATGCCGATCGAGACACTGTGCTCCAATGAGACGAGCATTGGCCGTGTCGCTTATCTCCTCCGCCAATCAGCCGCGCGCATCACCCCTTCAGTCGTCCACGACGCGTTTTCAATTCTGCAGTCACTGCCCGACCATGGTCGATTTTCGACGGCGAATATGGGTCTTGAACATATGAATGCTATGATTTCCAACATGATGCTATTCCCCGCCAATGAGGTTTGTTTTGGAAATGCCTTATTTGCTAATGGAGGGTTGCCCGAGTCTTTAAGACCACAGCTTGAGCGTGGAAATGGGCGATTCCGATTCCTCGTTATTTTCCCTATCAGGGAAGACGGGGGGATAGAGCTTGCCTTTGGTACGCATCCGGAGGAGTTGGAGATGTTCCAGGCAGATGAAGAGTTTACGAAGTATGCTGAACTTGTAGATACGTGCTGCTGAATTCATTCTGGTTTATAGTGTATAACATAATTTGGAATCAATTGATCCGATTTTCTCTCATTTGATGCACTAAAATGGCCTTGCAATCTAGATTATAAAGAGTTTATTAGATGTACGAGGCGATTTGCTACAGATACTATCATTTTCTCTTCACCGACATTCCAACTGTTCTCATGCTATACCCTCATCTAAGTCATCAAAACATAACACATAACACATAATGTATGTATCAAGCAAAAGCAGTCCACTGCGTCCCACAAGCTGCCGCAACTTCTCGCGCCGGTCTACCAATCATCCCCTTCCAGAACGCAGACGTACCAGAAGGAACGAGTTCATCAATCTCCAAAGCCAGCAAAGCTTCAAAAGTCCAATCCTGGCACCGTCCAATTGAATTTTTAGGAGCAGGCTCCTTTTCAATAACCTTGATCGCGTCGTGTCGTTGTTGAGAAGTCAGATCGGCAATCTTGCACATGCCCACAGCCGCCTTGTCGACGATCTTTGTGGCGTACCGAGGCGCGAATCCGTACCATAACCTGTCTGAATCGATGATCTCGACTTGGAGGAGATCGCCGAATTCCAGATTCCCGGGTTTGTTGATCATGAACCCCCAGTGGGATCGATGTGTGGGGCTATCGCCAGGTCCGAAGACTTCTATTGAGAGGTTGTAGGCCATTTTATACTATGCGGTCAGTCTGAATTTCATACATTATGCAGTCTTGGAGGAATGTGATGGTTATGTACCTTCTTGTGGGTAGTTTTCTGTATCAAAAGTTCCCCTGGGAATAATTTCTTGTGAGATGTGGTATCATAGTTTGGGCAATGAACCTATACTAAAGCGTATTGAGATCAGATGACTTGGACGCGATCGAAATTGACGAATGTGTGAATCCGACCAATTGTGCGTTGTCGATTGGCGCGATAACCCCTCTTTGACAGGTCGAATATGCCACTAGTTTGGACTACACATATACTGAAAATGTCGACAGATCTCACTCAAAGTTGATATGTCTAATTCACTACCATAATTGAGGTTATCGGATATTCATTTTCTTTTCCAAGGTCCCAGGACACGCCAATTACGTGCTCTAGCTCTCCTACGCCCCATGTCTCACCCCATGTCTCACCCCCAGATATCCAACACAGCAAATCCAAATCGTGAACTAATCTTCAATTTTATACATGCAATTCTGTATGTTCAACTAATCTCCACACTCCCCTCAGGAACACCTTGCCTACTCCTTAGCCTGCGCGCAAAGAACTGCATAACAGGCAACATCTCTTCACGATTCGACGGCATCCCATCCCCCTTCCTAGCATACCGGCTCACCTCAACAAACTCAAAAACCTGCTTCGTCCTACGCACCGCCTCATCTGAAACAGCCACCGAATCTCTCCCGGCAACCAGCAGCACCGGCGACCGATTCTTATCCCCAACCCTAGATCCAGACAAAGGATACGGCGCCCCGATAGAGATAACCCCAGAAAGAGCACCGACCTCACCACTATCGGCATTACCATTTCCCTTCAGCCCGATTTCCCGCGCAATAGCCAGCGCAGCCATCCCGCCCTGCCCGAAGCCCAGCACCATAATCTCGCGCAGCGCGTACCCGCATTTCTGCACGAGCGCGCCACGCACGACATCTGACACGAGGATTTTTGTGCTACGCGTCAGGCCGGCGTCCATGTCTAATGCGCCGGTCGCGGAGTCGAAGGAGACATCGTCGCCCCAGTGGAAGCCGCCCAGGTCGAAGGGGAGTGGGGCTGTGCCTTGGACTGTGACGACGGTTGTTTCGGGGAGACGGATGGCTTCAGCGAATTTTGTGAATGAGGCAGCTGTGTCGCCGAGACCGTGGAGTAGGAGGAGGATGTTTGGGGCTGGGGGTGCGGACTGGGAGGGGGAGGGGGGTGCGGGTGTGACGGTGACGGTGAGTTCAGCCGGGAAGTCGGATGGGGTGGGGGTTTTGGTGGGCATTCTGAATTGAGTAGGGTAGTGTCCAGTTGAGCTGAGCTGAGTTCAGCTGCAGCTTGCGGGGCTTGGAGCTTGGAGCTCGGAGAATAGCGCAAAGTGTGGCTGTGTCAGTAGATGTGGCGTAGAGCTCAGCCCCAAGGGGTTGTTACTACAAAGTACGTAGTCATAGGGACACACGGTACGGAGTACTCCGGACAATGTATAATGCCAAGTCTTCTATAATGCTCAACGATGTATTTACGGAGCTAGGGTCTCACGTTAATTGGGAGACGAGCTCAGGTTCGGAGTAGGTGATTATTGCAGTTGCCTAGCGCTGATCAATATCAACATTCGCATCATGGAGATGTTCAAATTTTTTGATGACCTCGGCTATTGCCTTCACCTTATGTACCATGTTCTACTTATGTAGTGTAATTGCCCCGACACTTTGCATTGCATCTGAGGAACTCGGCTAATACCCACTCGTAGCAATTGTATATCTCTATACATATCCCAGGATTGATCTAAGCAATCCTATGCCGACTGACATCATGACAATTATGCATCTAAGCTGATCTTCAATGGATTAAAAGAGTTGTGCTATTTTAGTCAAAGTGTGGCTTGAGGTCCGATTGTCTAGTACGTAATTGGTTTAGGGTGAGCCCATCGGTATTTTATTAAAAGAAACATTGAACTCGAAGTTTATCAATACAACACACTTCTTAATAGAACCTCTATCAAGTTGCCGCTTATTAGGCAGTAGTAATTGCAATCTTGGAAGTTATACCCGACATTCTATGTTCACCGCCACTCTTCTCGTGGCTAGTGTTGCCGAGACTTATAAGGCGACGACAAGCCTTAGAGACAGGCTTGGCTCGGCTAAACCAGGGTGATCAGTTTCTACCTGCGTAATGAGTACCGTGTAATTGACCTGCAATAGAGCTAATATCGTCTGTGTCATCTTCTAATTTGTCCATTCATAGCGGAGTAGGGCTGAAATGACCCGCTTTGGGTCCATCAGATCGGCGCGCTATTGGACATCGGCGGGACACGTACTCGTAACACCGAGCGCAAGGGTAGAAAATTGTACTGTATGTTTAAGGTGTTGGCAAGTACCCCGCGGACAGCATGGTTAGTACAGCATACACAGTGTAGTACGGTGCTACTTAGTATGTTGTCGAGTTGGATAGTTGGACATGCACGTAAAATGTTCCTTAGGGCAACCCCTGGACCAAACATCGGTACTGGGACCCCAAAGGTGGTTCAACTAGAATTTGGTAAACGCTAAAACAACTCCTGGCGGGGGTTGTGATACAAAGTCCTCTGTACCCGTCACTACCGGTGGTCCTCCAATGAAGTTGTAGACTAGCGATGCGGTGATGCCGTTGATTCCACCGGAGCTAGCAATGAAGTCGCCTCCTTGTCGCCCGAGATACCCGACAATAACAACAACAATGCGAGAATCTGCTCTCTTTACCAGCCACAGGCTAATACTCTGGTGGTTGTGTTTGATTCGTATGCTGGAGAGGCGTTTTGGCTCCCATCCTCTGACATATCAGCATCGTACAACGTACATATGTTGTCGGAACCAACTCAGCCACTATTATCGCAGATCGGATGGTGGGGCAACTCGAGCTGAAACAGAGGGAAAGCTACTCCCGAATATTAATACAACGTAGACTACGTAGCCCTTCTAGAGTATTCCTCCTCTTCCCTGGGTATAAGATCCCCTCATCCCCCACTACGTTGTACTCTTCTTTTCTTCCATCACTCTACAACCCATCTCTCACTTCCCTCCTTTTTATCTATACATATTCACAATGGCTTGGGGCTGGAGTAAGTCCAACTTTCCCTCATAAGACATCTAGACCTTAGTTGCTTGCATGCACTAGGGCCCGACCCGACCTGCATAGCCGGCGATATCCCAGCACGCCTCCATTGGTCACCAAAGCGAAAAGCCATGCTAACGCCAAGCTAGACGAATCCGAGAAGGCACACCAGGAGGTGTACAACGGTGAGCAGCACCACGAGGGCAAGTTCTCTCACGAGTTCGCTGCCGGTGCCGCTTCCTTTGCCGGCATGAAGGCCTATGAGGACCACCAGCGCAAGGAGGGTACGTGAAACACCGCATTTCATTCTCAATCTACTCTATCTTGGACTGTATTCTGACTTGAATTTGAACACATAGGCAAGCCCGTCAGCCACGCCTTCGCCAAGGAGCTCCTCGCCGGTATCGTCGGCGGCGAGGTCGACAAGCTCGCCGAGAGCAAGGGTATGGACTGGTTTGACCGCGAGAAGGCCCAGCACCACGCCAAGAAGAACGCCGAGCACATGTACGAGGAGCGTTACGAGCGTGGCAACTACTAAGCCACTCGTTTCCACGATAGCAATGGATGAATGATGATACTTGTTTTATGAAGACCCTGTGATCGTATGTAGTAAGAGAGTAAGATATGATGTATCAAACAATTTGAACATCTCAACCTCGTACCTAGAAAGAGCGGTGAAGTAAGGCGTCCAATGTAACACAAGACCGATATCGATATCCACATCCCGAGGTCGTATGTATGCTTGTATGCACGATGCATGAGCTTGCATGGCATAGTTCCGACAGACATACGTAGGGCTACGTACGTCTACCTATGTCGTGACACACTCAGTCCGACAGTAAATATGCTCCAAACTTTAACAGGGATGCCGGGGCTTTATTTGAACCAGTCATCACCATGAGAACCCGCCGATAGCATTCCGGCCACATTCCAATGCGGTCGTATCTTAGATAGGAGACTTGTCGTCGGGTGAATCGCGCGTGAATTGCGTCCGACTTGGATATTTCCTTTTTTTCGTTCTGGATAGGAATTGATTGACCGTTGCGAGATTTAATAGCGAATAAGCCCTGGAGTGTGAAAGAAAGTGAGGATATTCCCAGTTCTTGGATTCTCCAATCGTCAGGAATCTGGCCTTGTGGGTCTGAGGGTCCAATAATAACCAATCAGAGTACAAGGCTGACCAATAGTGGGCTTGCGGCCTAACAGTTCAGGCGCCAAAAGCT